CTCAGTCAGCGCCCCCCCCCATGGAGCTGAAAGGCCCCAATCCAAGCTAGGAGGGGGGATACAGAGACAGGGGTTGACCTCAGAGTGTGAAAATGACCTTCACATTAAAAGGCAGGGAATTTGGGGGGTGGGGGTGGAACCGGGGGGGGGGGAGGCTGTGTTGGGTGGGTGGGGGAGCTTGATGGGAAAGGGCTTTGAAACATATGATAAAAGGATTTAATTTGCTCTACCTTCCAAGCTAATTAAAGTTGAAAACCAGCTAATTGGTACTTTGTACTTCCAGCTCCAGTGGTGATGAAAGGGAAAGATAATTGCAGGAGAGGAGGGGGAAAATTAAAATGGGGGGGGGGGAGAGGGCAAAATGATCTGATCACCTGCAAATAATGGAAGGGTGAGGGAGGAGAATAGAATATGTAGCTTGTAACAAAGCACATCCAAGCCTGATGTCTTAAGGGGTGTGTGTGTGTGTGTGGAGAAACGCTACAGAGATTATCCTCCTCCTAACATCTGCTGACATAAAACAGGCATGTGAGCGTTACATTATGTGAAACAGAATTTTGTGACATGCCAGTGTGAGCAAGCCAAAGAAGCGAGCTGTTTTCATGAGGTCTGACAGCGCGGCCCATCAAACGGGTTCTTTCCTGCCTTCCGTGAAGGAAGCAAATCTTCACAATCAAGTCAAAAGGTTCCCATGCTAGAGTTTGCCGTCGTAGATGCGACAGCCTTGTTCCCACTTGTGACCGTTGTGTGGATGAAGACATTTTTGGAAGTGCTGCCAAAAATTCTATCCCACTCCTAAAGGTACAGGAGCTGTATTGCCCTAATGGCAGCCGATGGCTCAAACCTGGGGAGTTGTTGTTGGACTCCAACTCCCATCAGCTCCAGCCCACGTGGTCAGTGGTCAGGGATGATAGGAATTGTAGTCCAGCAGCATCTGGAGGTCCACAGGTCCTCCACCCCATGGATGGGGAACCTCTGCCTTTCTAGATCATCCCTGATGGTTGTCTCCACTGGCTGGTCCTGATGAGAGCTGGAGTTCAACAGCATCACATGTGCCACACGTCCCCCTTCCTGGTCTCTGGTCCCTATGCCAACAATATCACTGTAGGTATTATTAGGAGGCAGCATACAAATGAAAGGATACAGTGACAAAATTGCTGTTAAAACAAATCACTTCCACAACAGTTCATTTTAAATTATCTGCCTCCAACTGACTGAGCAATGGACTCCCTTAGTTTATACCCAGAACCAGGTGCCAATCTATCAACTTTATATACATATATATATATATATATATATATATATATAAAATTTTTATTAAATTTTCTGTTTTACAATTTAAAATACTCGTTTTACATCCTTAAGATATCAATGATTTCCTTTCTTCTCTTTCCATGATTCATTTTACATATCATAAATCCCTGCATATTTTACAGAAACTATATTCCATTACTGCATCCATCAAAACTTGTTTGCGCAGTTGAATTTCTCTTAATACTGCCAGCGTTTTCAGCTGTACACAATTATTTCCCATATATCCAATAAACGTTTTCCAATCTTCTTTAAACGTATGTTTTTCTTGTTCTCTTATTCTAGATGTTAGGTCTGCGAGTTGTGCATATTCTGTCAACTCAAGTTGCCATTCTTCTTTAGTTGGGACCTCGCTCGTTTTCAAATTTTGGGGCTAGCAAAACACGGGCTGCAGTAGCAGCATACATAGGTAAAGGTAAAAGAACCCCTGACCATTAGGTCCAGTCATGACCGACTCTGGGGTTGCGGCGCTCATCTTGCTTTATTGGCCGAGGGAGCCGGCGTTTGTCTGCAGACAGCTTCCGGGTCATGTGGCCAGCATGACCAAGCTGCTTCTGGCAAACCAGAGCAGCACACGGAAACGCTGTTTACCTTCCCGCTGGAGTGGTACCTATTTATCTACTTGCACTTTGATGTGCTTTCAAACTGCTAGGTTGGCAGGAGCTGGGACCGAGCAACGGGAGTTCACCCTGTCACGGGGATTCACACCACTGACCTTCTGATCGGCAAGTCCTAGGCTCTGTGGTTCAACCCACAGCGCCACCTGCGTCCCTAGTGGCATACATAAATAACCTTTTTTTGACACCTGGGAATTTCAGTCTGAATTATCCACAACAGAAGGGACTCTGGTCTATCAACTTCTTGGTCATGTGGATCTTAGAAGTGTGGCAAGGGGAGAAAATCTCCTTTCTGCATCTCTTTGCATACCTTTAGGGCACACCTGCCTTCCTCTCCTCTCCCCCGTGTCCTACACCCAGCCTTCTCTGCCCTCCATTAAACTGCATGAGCTTGGGTGTCACCAAGATGAATTGGAGCTGCTGGCAGTTATCATAGTGCAAGGCCGATCTTCTCCCTTCTCCTTCTCCTTCCCCCTCCCGTCCCCGTCCTCTACCTCCCCTGGCTGTGTGTCACTCTCTTTCTCTCCTAAACTACATTATCCCGTAAATAATATTTCTGCTTCGAGACAGCTCACTTAACTGCCAGGCCTAAGCAGACAGCCAGAGTGATGCGATATGATCCCTTTGACTACATTAGAGATTGTGGCAGGGAAGGAGATGGCAACAAACTGGGGGGGTGGGTGGGGGAACGATAGCTTTGGCTGGGGGGATTTTTCCCTGTGATGGATCGGCCCCTAATGGCCCTCCTGATAGCAGGTAGCAAGTGGAGGGGGATGCCATCAGCTCCCCTGGAAAGGCTGTAAATCTAATCAGGCACTTTGATTGGAAAGGTCTTGACGGAAGGGGAATGGGATACAGAAATCAATGTGAACTTTTGCTGCAAGCCGGAGTGAGGGATGCATGTTGGCAAAAGTGGAGAGAGGAACACATGGGTGAGAAGGAAGATGGAGAGATGAGAAGGAGAAGGAAGGATTAGGCTTGCCATATTTCCAAAAGTGAAAACCCAGGCACAAACGTTGTTGAGCTGTTTTTTTAGTTTTACCCAAAGTTGTTGGGCTCCCCCCCCAAAAAAAAAATCTCAAAAATGAAGATGTTTTAAAGCTTTTTTAAAAAAGAAATTCGCCCACATCTACACTTTCAATATGAGTTGCCATATGTCCAGATTTCCCCAGACATTTCAGCGATTTTCGCCTGGACGCTGTTTCCAACAACTGAATTCCGGTTTGTCTGGGAAATTCCAGATGTATGGCAGCCCTACCTTAGATGGCTGTTTGGACACAAACAGTAAAGCAAGTTCCCATTTTAATATCTTGAACCTGCCCTTCCAAATTTCTCTAGGCAGCATACAACACAGCATTAGGGATGGAGAGCTTGTGGTCCACCAAATCTTGTTGAACTTCAGCTTGCATCATGCCTGACCCCGGCTGCGCTGGTTGAGGCCGATGGGAGTTGGAGTCCAGCAACATCTAAGGGACCACAGATTCCACAACCCTGTTGGAGCAGGTAAGCCTTTTTGTCTCTCTTTCCTAAGATGTCTACTCTGACAGGCAGGTCTGTTTCCCAAACCTTTCCTAACTGGAAATGTCAAGGATCTAAATGATCATGCCTCACCACTGGCCATGCTGGTTGGAGCTGATGGGAGTTGGAGTCCAACAATGTCTCGAGGGTGGTGGGTTCCCCATCCCATAAACAACAACAACAACAATTTATTATTTATACCCCGCCCATCTGGCTGGGTTTCCCCAGCCACTCTGGGCGGCTTCCAACAAAACACTAAAATACAATAACCTATTAAACCTTAAAAGCTTCCCTAAACAGGGCTAACTTCAGATGTCTTCTAAAAGTTTGGTAGTTATTTTTCTCTTTGACATCTGGTGGGAGGGAGTTCCACAGGGCGGGTGCCACTACCGAGAAGGCCCTCTGCCTGGTTCCCTGTAACTTGGCTTCTCGCAGCAAGGAAACCACCAGAAGGCCCTCGGCGCTGGACCTCAGTGTCCGGGCAAAATGATGGAGGTGGAGACACTCCTTCAGGTATACTGGACCGAGGCCGTTAAGGGCTTTAAAGGTCAGCACCAACACTTTGAATTGTGCTCGGAAACAGACTGGGAGCCAGTGTAGGTCTTTCAAGACCGGTGTTATATGATCTTGGCGGCCACTCCCAGTCACCAGTCTAGCTGCCACATTCTGGATTAGTTGTAGTTTCTGGGTCACCTTCAAAGGTAGCCCCACATAGAGCTCATTGCAGTAGTCCAAGTGAGAGATAACTAGAGCATGCACCACTCTGGCGAGACAGTCCGCGGGCAGGTAGGGTCTCAGTCTGCGTACCAGATGGAGCTGATAAACAGCTGCCCTGGACACAGAATTGACCTGCGCCTCCATGGACAGCTGTGAGTCCAGAATGACTCCCAGGCTGTGCACTTCAGGCGCATAGTTACCCCATTCAGGACCAGGGAGTCCTTCACACCTGCCCATCTCCTGTCCCCCCAAAACAGTACTCCTGTTCTGTCAGGATTCAACCTCAATCTGTTAGCCGCCATCCATCCTCCAACTGCCTCCAGAAATTCATAGAGGACCTTCACCGCCTTCACTGGTTCCAATTTGAAAGAGAGGTAGAGCCGTGCAAATGGCTCTTTTACCTCCCTGGGTTCAATGTTCAGACCAGGGGGTGAGGGGAGATGGGTGGGTGTCACCCTTAGCATGCTTGGGTGTTTTGTTTTTGAAGCGCATGCATATTTCCAAATATACAGGTAAGGCAGATGGGAAGCAAGTCCAGAGGGACACAGGAAGTCAAAACCATAGTTCTAAAGCAGCAGCAAAAAACAAAACAGAAACCATCCACATCCTTTCACAGTTCCTGTCAACCCCCCCCCCCCCAACTTCTCCTTAACAATCTATTTAGCCAAACTGGAGTCGCTTCAGAGGAGAATAACAGAGATGGCCAAAGGTGTGGAACACAAGTCCTCTGAGTAAAGATAAAGGGGGTAAAGGACTCCTGGATGCTGAAGTCCAGTCAAAGGTGACTGTGGGGTTGTGGCGCTCATCTCGCTTTCAGGCCGAGGAAGCCGGCATTTGTCCACAGGCAGCTTTCCGGGTCATGTGGCCAGCATGACTAAACTGCTTCTGGCGCAACGGGACACTGTGATGTGTGCCAGAGAGCACGGAAATGCCGTTTAAAGGTTGAGGGCACCGGGAATATATTTAGCTTGGGGGAAGACTGAGTATGTGATAGGATTCTTTAAATACTGAGATATAAAGGTGAGCATACTGTAGCTCTTGGCTGACCCAGAAGCCTGGAGTATATCTTCAGTTACAGGACAGCTGATTTCATGACAACATTAGGAGACATTTCTTAAGAATAAGAGATCAGACAGTGGAACCAACTACCTAGAAGACTGATGGAGCTCTCTCTCATTGGAGGTTCTGCCAGCCGAGGCTTGGGCAGCCATTTCTGGGGGATGCTGTAGCTCAGGATTTCCTCCATGAAGCAGCAAGTTGGACTAGATGTCATTCATGGTCCCCTCCAGGTCTGTGAATCTAACTCCAAAGTACCAAACTCTCTCGCATCCTTTGACATCTTATTAAAAAAATAGCCTCCTCTCCTTTCTGTTTGAAGTCCAACCCTGTAACATCCCTAATTGTTTCTGAAAGGCAGCAGCCTGATTTCTTCTGGAGGATCATTCCACGGGTTAGGAGCCATTACCGAAAAGACCCTGCTCTGCACCTCCATGGTACAGTCAACAGAACCTCCCCATCAGATTGCAATAATCTGGGTGATTTGGTATGGGAGATGGTAGTCTCTCAGATGGTGTGCTTCTCAGCTGGTTAGGGCCTTATAAGTCAAGATCAACATAGGGACATTATACAGAGTCAGATCATTGGTCTATAAAAGGACCCCTGACCATTGGGTCTAGTTGTGACCGACTCTGGGGTTGCGGCACTCATCTCGCTTTATTAGCCAAGGGAGCCGGCGTACAGCTTCTGGGTCATGAGGCCAACATGACTTAGCCACTTCTGGCGAACCAGAGAAGCACACGGAAATGCTGTTTATCTTCCCACCAGAGCGGTACCTATTTATCTACTTGCACTTTGACATGCTTTCGAACTGCTAGGTTGGCAGGAGCAGGGACCGAGCAACGGGAGCTCATCCTGACGTGGGGATTCGAACCGCCGACCTTCTGATCAGCAAGTCCTAGGCTCTGTGGTTTAACCCACAGAGCCACCTGCCTCCCATTGGTCTATCTAGCTCAGTAAGTAAGTAAGTAAGTAAGTAAGTAAGTAAGTAAGTAAGTAAATAAATAAATAAAACAACAACAACAATAATACACTGGCTGGCAGCAGCTCTCCAGGGTTTTAGGCAGGGGTCTCTTCCATTCCTACCTTGATATGCTCTGGCACTGAGCCAAGGCCCCATCCCCAGGACCTCCCTGCGGTTCCCTGCCTTCCAACATCTGCCACCCGAGGCAGCTGCCTCACCCAGCCTAACAGTAGCTCTGTCGCCGTCATCAAATGATCCCAAGTTTGGAGTGTTAAAAGAAAGAGTGAAAACATCAGCCTGTCCTCTCTGTCTTCTTTCTCCATGCCACAAACTGTTTTATAAACCTCAGTCACATCCCTCTCCACCCCACTTAGTGGATTTGTGTTTTCAAACTTAGAAGCTGCAGATGTGTTAGCCTTTCTCCTTCTTATGTGCTGTTTGTGAGTTCCTGGAACATGACACCCCACACCCCACCCCGCAACACACACGCACAGTTCCATGTATCTGTCCTCAGCAATCACCGTGGAATATAATCTGTGGCTTATTTAACCCAGTAGCTTGCAGAGACTTTAACAGATCACGCAGTCATTGCACAGAAGCCGTCAGAATGGATGAGTTGTCATGTCAGGGTGGAGCATTCTCTCCCCTTCTCTGTCCCCCCCACCGCCGCTTCTGCCGTAGCCTGCTAGCTATTAAATTCTCCTGTAGAAAGGCTGCTGCAGGGTTGATGTTTCCATTTGCAGCGACAGAGATCTGGATCAGATTTACTGTCCTGTCCAATAAAACAGCAATGGAAGCATCATTCCTGGTGCGGTAGAAGACAGACAGAGTTATTCAAGTGCCGGGTACCCAGGGGGTGAATGAGAAAGAGTTCTTAACATTGAAGACGAAAGATACGGAGGAATTGAAGGCGGCCAGTTTCAAAGGAAGAAAATGAGCTTTTCTTTAAAAAATAAATAAAATAAAATGCTATTATTATTTGCAAAAACACAATTGCGAGAGGGTCAAACAAAAGCAAGGTCCTGCACATGCTTACTTGGAAATAGTATTGCGTTCCTGTTTGCCTATGCATATTGCACCACTGATTTATACAGAGCCCTGCAGAGTTACACCCAGGTGACATGGATAAGGCTTCCCTACCTCCCTCAGGGTGCTTACAATATAAAACAGACAGTGGCGAGACAGAAGGAGAGAGAGAGAGAGAGAGAGAGAGAGAGAGAGAGAGAGAGAGAGAGAAGGTGGGTACATGACCTCACATGTATCTAAATCAAGAGTGGGGAGCAATTTTCAACGCAAGGTCCACATTCTCTCCTGTGCAACCTTCCAGGGGCCACCTGCCGATGGTGGGTGGGACCAGTAGCAAAAGTGGACAAAACAATAGGTGCCATTTCCTCCCCCTTTTACAGGAGGCTACTTTTAAGGTGGGACGTGGGTGGCGCTGTGGGTTAAACCACAGAGCCTAGGACTTTCTGATCAGGAGGTCGGCGGTTCGAATCCCCGCGACGGGGTGAGCTCCCCTTGCTCGGTCCCTGCTCCTGTCAACCTAGCAGTTCGAAAGCACGTCAAGGTGCAAGTAGATAAATAGGTACCACTCTGGCGGGAAGGTAAATGGCGCTTCCGTGTGCTGCTCTGGTTCGCCAGAAGTGGTTTAGTCATACTGGCCACATGACCCGGAAGCTGTACGCCGGCTCCCTCGGCCAATAAAGCGAGATGAGTGCCGCAACCCCAGAGTCGGTCACGACTGGACCTAATGGTCAGGGGTCCCTTTACCTTTACCTTTACTTTTAAGGCACACTCGGATACCCTTTCTCTGTTCTCCATCCAGAAAAGCAAAAGGCATCATCAGTATGCAAGTGCACGTTCCAGTCCAACCCACGTCCACCATGAGGAGGGCATGAAGCAGGGATAGTCAGGGCTGTGGCCTGGGGAGAGGGAGTGCAGTTGGGAAGAGTCCTGAGGATCAGGGGATGCAACTTGAAGGCCCACCTTTGGCTCCTGACCTGAGGTTCACACCACTGACTTAAAGCTTGGTTACTGTTGGGACTGACGATTTGAGGAATAAGCCAAAGACCACGCAGGAGAGGTGGATTCTGGAGACGAATATGAAGGATGAGGGAGAGATGAGATCAGTGCTGGGTTCACAGATGAAGTCAGCAAATGCAGGTTCCTCCCCGTCCACCCCATAAATAATTGGCGGAATGGCCCAAGAGAGACTCCATAGCAGCCAACTCCTAGGGCAGGCATAGGCAAACTCTGGCCCTCCAGATGGTTGGGACTACAATTCCCATCATCCTTGACCACTGGTCCTGTTAGCTAGGGATGATGGGAATTGTAGTCCCAAACATCTGGCGGGCCAGAGTTTGCCTATGCCTGTCCTAGGGGCTGAGGTCCCAATAAAATATTTGAGCGGGTTGCCCGTTCCAAAGTTGATGAACATTGCCATTCAAATGGTGTGTGTGTACCATATCATGTGATCTATTATACCTGCCCCCCATATTTTATTCAAGTTGACACCCCTGGGACTCTCTCCTAGCAGCTCAGCCACCCCAGAACCCTCCCCCTCCCATCCCTGTCAGCAAGAGAAAATCTGGCTACCCCTGGGTTACAGGCACCCAGAACTTGCCCACGGTTACTAAGGGGAATGGATTTATTTCATTGTTGATTGGGGCATTTATATGCCAACCAATCGAACATGCCCTCTGGGCAGTTTGCAGTTGTTTGTTTGTTTAATAATAAATTGTTAGATTTATACATTGCCCTTCATCCAAAGATCACAGGGCGGTTTACAATATAACCAATAATCAATAATAATAAAAAACACACATGTAACAGCTAATATCTCTACACAAACTGCATCACTACAAAATGAATGTTGAACTGAAACCATGCGCTCCAAGAAAAAAAAGCACTAAAACTCAAAAGTTTGTTTAAAATTTATGTGTGTGTGAATGTACAGCTGATGTTGTAATGTGCACCTCTGCCCTGCACCACCCTCACTGCAACCAAGCAAGCAGTTCACATATTATCCCCATTTAATGTATGGTGAATGAAGGCTGCGAGATAGAGACACACATCCATTTCACTTTCAGACACCTCCCCCTTTTAAAAACACCTCTGCCGGGTTGGTGGTCCATAAAATACGGACTGGAATTCCAGATTGAGATTGTGACCCTGCCGAGCAAATGCCCATCAGTGTGCTAAGGTATCTTTGATCACAGCAGGCTCCCTTTCACCTCCCTTCTCCTGCAGGTGAGGCAGAGGAGCCATCAGCCATTAAACAGTCACTGGATATGGGGGGAAATAATCTCTTGTGGAATGCAGCTTGACCCCCTGCGACCCTTTGCTGCAATTTCTCTTTGAGTGCATTCCAGGTAGCAGGCAGAAGCAGAAGCAGGAAAAATAGAAAGTGGATTTTGGTGCTGAGAAATCACAGCGGGAGTGGAGGATTAACTCAGTCACTCCTGGAAGAAATTTAATCTGGAGTACTAGCGAGGGGTGTGTGTGTGAAATCAGGCTTGGTGAAACAGCTCCAATTGCTTCATCCGCTCTTAAGTTGGGTGTAAAATGCTTAGTCCAGCTTTGTTTGGCAAAGGGGTTAAAGGAGAGGCTCTTCTTGTCTGCCCATAGGGGCTTCTTTGACATCTGTCTGGCAAGCCATGTGTCCAAGGACATATCATGAACAGCTGATGCAGTCTACACCTTGTTGCTAAGGTTGCCTTTTTTTTCTGGCTCTGCACCCCCGTTTTTAACAGCTGCCTGCCATACAGAAATTAACCAAGTGACCTTTTCCTCATGGCCTCATCGCTCTGTCAAGAAAAGTCCCCCCCCCTTAAATTTCCGCCTGTCAGAGGAACAATGGAAGAGGCCTTATATTACCCACACTGAACGACAGTAGCTTTCTGGGGTTTCAGATAGGGGCTTTCCCTACCCTAATCTCATACCCTCCAACACCATGAAAACAAAAGCTAGGACACCATCTTCCCAGGTATGTTCTTCGCTTTTTTTCTTGAAACAGAATGGCAGCCATTTTGGCCACTGTGATCTGGTGCAATTTTGGGCTGCGATCTTGCCCTGAAAAAGCACTCCCCCCCCCCCCCGGGAGAAGTCATGGTGCGAAACAATGCGAGATCCCAGTGGCCAAAATGGCTGCCGTTCTCTAGCAAGGAAAAAATGGGATGTCCTGATTTTTCCAGGACACTTGCGATGTATGCCACCTGGAGAATCTGCGGGTTGAACTTGAGAGCTTCTGTGTGCAAAGCAGATAACAACAACAACAACAACAACAACAACAATAAATAGTAATAATTTTATTATTTATACCCCGCCCATACATCTGGCTGGATTGCCCCAGCCACTGAGCTACAGTCTGGATGCAGTTAAGCAGGCCAGTAGAAAGAGGGGGCTCTCCACTCATGGTCAGTTCTCCTTTTCCAGGTTTTTCCTCACATGAGTGTTAGTGCTGCTATCCCTACCCATAATTCTCCTTAGAGCAGGGAAATTTGTCTTTCACCCTTTTCAATTTCAAGTTGAAAGACCTCTTAAGATAACTCAAAACTTTGACCTTGCCTGGTCAACAGGGCAGGACACAGGTCCAGGTTCCAGCAATGGCAGAGTTTAGAGACCCTGAATTTATGCTCCCTCGTGGTCTAGATTTCGATATCCTTGGCTGGCTCTGAGAGCAAAGAGGACTTTTACTCTCTCCACCCCCCTCCTCTAGGAAAGATGCCAAAAAAGCAGTTGGAGAATCCCAGGAGCTGGAGAGGCACCCAGACCCAGTGCTTTTTTTCTGGGGAGGGACGCAGGTGTACGCATACCCCTAAACATCTTGTGAATCTAACTTTGGCCTCATTGAGGGGCAGTATTTTAATAGGAGTAGGAAAATGAGAGTACCCTTAAACTTTTTTTTTTGAAGAAAAAAAAGCACTGCCCTAAGAGCAAACAAACATTTCCTCTGCACGAGTGATGCTTCAATGTGGAATGGGGAGAAATGGGGAAGCACTGTCTATTCTGCTGCGCAGGTAACACTTTCAAAGACAGATGCTTGCCAAAAATGTATCGGTCAGAGACAATTGGGAACTCCTCATGTGCTATTAAAAAAAAATAAAAACCCACTAATACGCTGGAACTATCCAGTTAAACGCCAATTACGAAACCCTGCAAGCTTCCCGGCTGCAGCATATTAATAACACAATTAAACATGTATCACTTAATGCAAATGGAAAAAAGATAGAACTTAATCGGATGGCAGTGCAACCCCAGGAAGTGACCATTTAGCAAACTAATGTCTATTTAATTATAGGCCCCTCCTCTGTAATAAGCTAAAACACGCCAGTCTTTATCATTTCTTTTCTCAGAACTCAGTTGCAATGCTAGTCTGAGGAATTCCATCTCGGCTTCCCTGCATTGGCAGAGACTCAAGCCCTTGAACAGCTGTGGAGATTAAATTCCCCGAATGGTCCTTGGCATCTTCTCTTTTCTTTGCATTGTCCAGCTGTAAACAGCTGGATGGGACATATATTCCCACCACCAGCTTCTTCTCCGGCGTTTAATGTGGGTACATCCCAATAGAGAACTTTTGGATCGTTGTGTTCTGCTATATCATGGCTACTACAGAATAATCCTGCACTGATATATGGTTTTCACCTTTTCCAAGTGGATCCTGAGCCTAAGCACTCATTTGGAAATACATAGTGAAGCCCCTAAATTTAAAGCTCTGTGACGCCACTTTAAACAGTCCTGGCTTTGACCACAGAACTCTGGAAGCTGTAGTTTGTTATGGGTGCTGAGAGTTGTTAGGAGACTTCCCCCTTCCCTTCGCAGAACTACAATTCCCAGAGTTCCTGGGAAGGGGGATTGATTGCTAAACCACTCTGAGAATTGTAGCCAGCCTCACTGCTGCCTTGCCTGTCTCCTTTCTAGTAAGGGTAAAGGTAAAGGACTCCTGGAAGGGTAAGTCCAATCAAAGGCAACTGTGGGCTTGCAGCGCTCATCTTGCTTTTCAGGCAGAGGGAGCCAGCATTTGTCCACAGGCAGCTTTCTGGGCCATGTGGCCAGCATGACTAAACCGTTTCTGGTGCAATGAGACACTGTGACAGAAACCAGAGTGCATGGAAACGCTGTTTACCTTTCCGTCACAGTGGTACCTACTTATCTACTTGCACTGGTGTGCTTTCAAACTGCCAGGTTGGCAGGAGTTGGGACAGAGCAATGGGAGCTCACCCCGTCGTGCGGATTCAAACCACCGACCTTCCAATTGGCAAGCCAAGAGGCTCTGTGGTATAGACCACTGCGCCACCCGCGTCCTTTCCAGTAAGACACAGCGACATTGATAATGGGAGATCAAGTCTCTACATGACTGTATTATTGGGGGGGGGGGGGCTGAATGCATGAAAGCTTCTAAGCATCTCCTCCCAGGTGTGCTTCAAAGCCCCCATTCAGACCTTCGCATTCAACATGGGAAGATTGGGGGTTGGAGTACACAGGGACATCTGGGGGGTGAAACCAGCATGCAGACCACCTCCTTGTGCCTATGCCTCCTGAGCAAGGCTAGCGGTGTGAATGGAGCCATTTGTATCATTGTGTATTCATGTTGCTAGTCAGTGCGCAATGCTAAATAATAAAATAATTTGCAAAAATGGGTCAGCTCATGGTAGGCCAGTTGATGAGTGGAGCATGTGGCGAACCACTGAGACGAATGGTTTTAACATGCAGAAACGCCAGCTTAAGGCTGATTGAAGCCACGTCCTGCCATGTCCAAACGGTCATGCACATCAACCCGCATAAATGGGAAATGGCGCATGTTTCCTGCTCCTCGGGGAGCCGCAGCAATTTTCCTGCAGAAAGCACAAAGCCTGCGAGGTCAGGACCGGCTGGAGTCTCTCTGTGACGGGTGATCAGTTCAGGCTGACAGGTGTGAAGTTGGCAATTTTCTTTCCCAAAATGGCCAGATAAACAGGCTGGCAGCAGTCAGGGGAGATGGAGAGGGACGTGGAGATAAGGGGGGAATGGAAACAGAAAAGATGGGCAGCTGGAGCAGATCACTCAGCCAGCTCTGTGACAGACCAGAAGCAAAGAAAAGGATTAACCCTACACTGACTGGCCCACCCACTACAAGAAACATCTTTGGGGTGAGATGGAAAAGGAATAGATTTACAGATCCAGGCAAGGATATCTCTGGGATCTTAAAGGCATGCACCCATGATGTAAATGTGCATATGCTTAATAGATAGATAGATAGATAGTGCATATGCTTAATAGATAGTGCATATGTGCATATGCTTAATAGATAGGGATAGATAGATGAAAGATATAGATAGATGATAGATAGATAGATGATAGATAGATAGATAGATAGATGATAGATAGAGATAGATGATAGATAGATAGATAGATAGATAGATAGATAGATAGATAGATAGATAGATAGATAGATAGATGATAGATAGATAGATGATAGATAGATAGATGATAGATAGATAGATAGATAGATAGATAGATAGATAGATGCCTCTGGGAAAATTAAGGTGGACTCTTGCCCCACCTTAGATAGATGATAGATAGATAGATAGATGATAGATAGAGATAGATGATAGATAGATAGATAGATAGATACTGTAGATAGATGATAGATGATAGATAGATAGATGATAGATAGATAGATAGATGGATAGATAGATAGATGCCTCTGGGAAAATTAAGGTGGACTCTTGTCCCACCTCCCATTCCGGCTCAGTCACCCTGTGGGCAAAGCTTTGTTTTTGTTTTTAAAGGGAGGGGAAGAGGCAGGAGGTGTGAGAGGTCTGGCACATAAGATCAGGGACTGGGGTCCCCAGGGCATCCTCTAACTCTGCTCCTGCATCCCATCCAAGCAAAGAGAACCCTAATATTTTCATTATACATAGGAGGCCAGTTGGAAATATGGTCCTGTGTTGAGCAGACTTAGGTCCGGTCCAACATTTCACAGCTTTCAGTTCTCATACCTAACACACACCCTCCAAGTGTCACGATTTTCCAGGGACTGTCCCAGAATTAAGAAAGCCCTCCTGGCTTCTGATTTGATCCTGGAAGGTCCCTGTTTCCCCAGCCAGTCCTGAGTTTGGGAAGGAGAATGAGCCAAGTCATATCCTAAGTGATGGGGGCAGCAATAGCGGTGACTCAGTAATCAAGCAGGATAAAAGGGATTATGTCCTACATAAAAATGTTAGCCGTGTGTGTGTGTGTTCAAAGTCTATGCATATGTATTTTAAGAAAATAAGTTGTTGTTGTTGTCTGATTCTGCCTTAATTCGAAGCAAGATTTTAAAACTAGTGTGATTTTAAAACTAGTACCTCTCCCTTGAACACTGGAAGCCAATTAAAACTATTTCTTATATGATGAACAAGACTGTGTGTGTATGCTATGACTTAGGGGTTAATGGTATGATCTGCAGTAATTAAAAAGTAGAAAACAAAATCACACCCCCAATTTAATGCAGTGTGTTTCAATTGATTTTAGTTCATGCATATGCTTCATGTGAGCTCTGGCTAATACTAAAAGGCAGCCGTCCCCCAACCTACTGTAGTTGCCTCCAGATGTTGTTAGACTACAACTCCCATCATTCCTGATGACTGGCACTGCTGGCTGTGGATGATGGGACCTGGTGTCCAACTACATTTGGAGCGGGTCGGCTTGGCAAGAGCAGGCTCATTCTATCACTTCAGGCCTCCAGGTCCTCATCTAGTGGCAGGCCTGAATTAGATTCTGTGTTCGGGGACTCAGCTACATTAGTTAAAAAAGAGTGTTTTAAATGTGTTATAAACATGCAGCACCAGATGGTGCTATAGGGCCCAAAACATTTCTATGTGATTTTACATAGGGTTGTTGTTTAGTCGTTTAGTCGTGTCCGACTCTTCGTGACCCCATGGACCAGAGCATGCCAGGCACTCCTGTCTTCCACTGCCTCCCGCAGTTTGGTCAAACTCATGCTGGTAACTTCAAGAACACTGTCCAACCATTTTGTCCTCTGTCGTCCCCTTCTCCTTGTGCCCTCCATCTTTCCCAGGATCAGGGTCTTTTCCAGGGAGTCTTCTCTTCTCATGAGGTGGCCAAAGTATTGGAGCCTCAGCTTCAGGATCTGTCCTTCTAGTGAGCACTCAGGGCTGATTTCCTTAAGAATGGATAGGTTTGATCTTCTTGCAATCCATGGGACTCTCAAGAGTCTCCTCCAGCACCATAATTCAAAAGCATCAATTCTTTGGCGATCAGCCTTCTTTATGGTCCAGTTCTCACTTCCATACATCACTACTGGGAAAACCATAGCTTTAACTATACAGACCTTTGTTGGCAAGGTGATGTCTCTGCTTTTTAAGATGCTGTCTAGGTTTGTCTTCGCTTTTCTCCCAAGAAGCAGGCATTCTTTTACATAGGGTAAAACGATTTAATTCATAACTTATTTATAGCATCCCCCCCCATGTGTAGATCCACCCCACGTATTCCTGAGAAAGACTAAGGACTGGATTATTGTGGGGGTAAATGTTATGTACTGAAGTTCTCACCCTGGGCCAGCAGGGGGATACTGTAGATAGTTTTCACTCGGGCCCACATATGCAAATAAGGGATTGAAAGTGACGTTCAGTGATTGGATAGTTACAGAAAATGGTTACTGTTGCGTTCTAGTGGAGCTCTATATAAGCAGGCTGGCTGAACCCTTCAGTTCAGTTCTGTTCTGGCCTCTGAATAAACAAGAGCTGTTTGAAGAATCGCTGTGTCATCTGATATGTTCACCCACAACTTAACAGTAAACACAAGAAAGATGGCAGAACCCTATTGCATGTTATTTTTTTATGTAAAAATGAAAAAAGAGCTTCTAAGGAACTAAATTACATTCACAAGCAGGGGCGGATCTACGATGAAACTAATGACGTTTAAACTTCAGGGACCCTAATCCCAGAGGGGCCCTAGAAGCATCTTTGGTCCCCATTGCTTTTTTTTAAAAAAAATTGAGTCCAGTAAACCCAATATGAGTTGCACTACTCAAATTGATTGATTGATTTTATTTTTTCATATATCTTTCAAAGTTTGAGAGTTAGTAGCACACACGTAATTGTTGTGGTAAACAACCCCACAGAAGAAGATAACAGTGGTTACCCAGACCTCGTCGCTGCTTGTGAGGAGGCCACCATGACATTTCAAGTTTCAGGGCACCCAAAATGTAGGTCTGCCACTTATTCCTAGGTGATTCTGAGGGCCTTTACTAAAAAAAGAAAAGAAAAGAAAGGAAAGGCCACAAACAGACACATTGCTCCCAGCTCAGACATTGTCTCTCCTTGCCAGTTGCTGTCTGGCTACTGGCCAAGCTGCATGCTTGCCCCTGAGGGCAGTGGCAACTGAAAGAAGGAGCTTGATGGAAGGAAATAGAACATGAATTCAAGCACAAGGTTCTCAGGTTGGGTACCATACTTAACACAACTGCTATATAGTACAGTGGTACCTCGGGTTAAGAACTTAATTCGTCTTTGAGGTCCTTTTTTAACCTGAAACTGTTCTTAACCTGAGGTACCACTTTAGCTAATGGGGCCTCCCGCTGCCGCCGCATGATTTCTGTTCTCATCCTGAAGCAAAGTTCTCAACCTGAGGTACTATTTCTGGGTTAGCGGAGTCTGTAACCTGAAGCATCTGCAACCTGAAACGTCTGTAGCCTGAGGTACCACTGTATTTTAACTTTAGGATAAGAAAAATCTGTGGAGACAGTGATCTGGTCTTTAAAAGGAGTCCTTTCTATATAATGTTGGCTTAAAGACATAGCCTTGAATATCTGCTGGGAAGGAAATGTCCGGATTTTCCAACTGTTTCAATGTATTATTCAGGGGAAGAGAGACACAGTCGAGAGGCCATGATGAATGCTGAGCAGCCGTTAAAGCAGCCTCTAGCCCAGGGGCCGCCCATTATGTTGGATCACTGGGCCCATTTGGAATTTTGAATAAGGGTTGCAGGTGCCAGTCACAAAATGGCTGCTCTGTGGGGGATGTGCCTTAACATAAAATGGCTGCCATATCTGAAAAAAAGCAGAAGAAGGGGCAAAATATGGGGCAGGCGTGGCCCCCATTAGATTCCACATCTCCAGTGGAGGTGAAAAGGCAGCTACATCAGGACCGCCACTCTCATTCAAAGAGAAGCTTCTTTTTGCTCCTTTCCTTTGTTCAGAAAGGGAAGGAGGGTGGGCGTCCAATCCTTGCAGTGGAATATGGGCATGTTTCAGGGAACATGTACAGTATACAAGAGGCTGAGTTGATGCGGACAGGAACTAAGCAGGAAGAGCAAAAGGTATCTCATTGTGCTGTGGATTTCTGAGACGGATTTTGCTCAGACCTTTCATGGGTGCCATAGGAGGTACTGGGAAGCACAGTGGCCCCTTTGGGCACTATGTTGGTGCCCCCTGCTCTAGCCTGACTGGGAATGCAGGGCCAGCCCTAACGTTGGATAGAGTGGAGTAGATGCCGAGATGGTGAGGAAATGGAGAACAAAGCTGTGTGTGCCACAAAGTCTGACTTGCATGCCTTAGTCTGCTGCTCTCAAGCTAAGTCAATCCTGATACCCCCTGCCTGCCTGATTGATTGATTGATTGATTGATTGATTGATTGACTGACTGAATAGTATTCGTATACCACCACTTGATTGTAAAAATCTCTGACAGGCCCCAAATATATGGGAGACCGTCTCCTTCTACTGAGAATCTCCTGGGTGTTGTGATCAGCAGAGGGGTCCCTCTTAGTTGTTCCACCTCCCTCAGAAGTCTGGGGTGGTTGTTACCTGGGAGATGACCTTCTCTAAGGTAGCCCTTAAATCCTGGATTTTCCTACCCACCGGGGCGAGTCTGGCACCTTCACTATACAACTTTTGGTTCTGTTCATTTCAATTCACAAATCAATTTCATTGCAATGGGCCTACTCTGAATAGATTTTAGTTGGCTGCTACCTTATAGGGTTGCATCCAATGAGCATGCCCATTGCGGTCAATGGGCATGACTAACTTACGATTCATTCACTGCAGTGGGTTTACTCAGAGTGAAATGTGGTTGCATACAACCTTATAGCTATGCCTAAAGCTGAACTGTGCTGTGAGGAGCTCTGGCAATGCTGTTTCTAAGCTGTGAGGGCAATTTGAGAAACTCTCCCCCCTCTCCGCCCTGCTCTCTCTGTGGGAATTTTGGACTCACACCTGTTCCTCGTTTGTTCCACGGAAACCCAAACTGGGAGTGCACCCGCTCCAGGCTCCCTGCAGCTCCAACAGAGCAAGAGAGAGCCCCATGTTATGGTTTTATCCCCTCATTGCTCAGCTGTGAGAGGGACAGGCCTGGGAAAAGAAAGGCAGAAATTCCCTCTAGGTTGTTGCTACAGTGCCATTTGCCACGTTGCAGCCAGGCCCTCCCTCCCTCCCGTTTCCAGTTCAGTGCCCAATCTGTGTGCCTTTGTTCTCTTTTCTGCGCTTGGCTAGCTGTGTTGAACCAGCTGTTAGGAATCTAGATTTATACATACTAGGGATTTGTGGGGCCTCTTCCCCCACCCCCCCAAGCCTCGAGATCTTTCATTCGTCTTATCAAGACTCACTTTCCTCTCAATTCTTCAGGTGCTTTTCCAGAGCAAGAACCTCAAAATTCCTTTCGAAAAAAGCCATGAGAAACAGTAGTTCCAGGGAAATGGTCTGTTGGACTATTGCTTCCCTCACCCCTCACCTTTGGCCATGCTGGTTTGGGCTGAGGACAGCTGGAGTTCAACCACATCTGGAGGGCTACAGCTTCTCCACTCATCTCATACCAACTTTGGCCAATGCAAAGACTGTTTCTTCACCAGCTCTCGACTCCCAACAGGGTCTCCAGGACAGGTGAGGACTGTGATGCCCATAGGACAGCTGGACTAGCAATCCATGACAGGATTAATCAACATAATGACTACAACTCCCATCATTTGTGACCAATGGCTCTGCTGATTTGGGCTGGTAGTAATTGAAGTCCAACAACATCTGGAAGTCACAATCCCTGGTATGTGGTAATGCTTTCCTTCTGAGGGCATCAAGAAAGGGTGTCTTATCATTCATCCCTTGAGGTGTTCTCTCCTCCTTCCATTTCTGAGCATTGAGAATCCTGGAAACCCTTTCTAGTCTATTTAAAAAGCTGTTTCCCCATATGTGAAGACCACAGCAGGGTTTGAAGTGTAAGAAAACAGGAGAATATATTAAGAAACATGTTAGGATGGAATTAGATAAGACAGAACCTTAAACCTCAATTGTCAGTATTTTGGGTTATAAACATCGATGCTGGGTGAGCGGGAAGTTAAATTGGAATTGTTGAATTTGAATATAACTGTTGAGCAACAAATTATTTCTATATGGAAAAAAGAATAAAATATTGTTATAAAAAAGAAAAGAAAGAGTGTCTTATCAAAACTCTTTGGGTTCCCTACAGTTCCTTTGCTGATCTAACCAAGGAACAGCCTGAAAGTTGGCAGCAACTCTTAGGCGATTTGAGCAATGCATTTCACAAGGACATAAAAACAGCCTGCTAGACCAGAAGCATTCTCCCTCAGACAGTGGAGGTAGAACATAACCACCATTATTTACCAATGCTCAGCTCTCAACAGGGCCCCCAAGAGTCAAGGAAAGGCAAAAAGGTGATGTCCGCAATGCAGCTCAGCTAAACATACACATCAATGTTCTCTGTGGGTTCATTCCCATAGACAGCAATGGATGTGCAGTGCCACTGTTAGAATTCCACTCGTTTTAGTAACACTTTTTTTTGGCTTCTAGTGAAATTCTGCTGACGCGTCTTCAAATTTGTTCTGAAATTTGCTGCGAGGGGGGAAAACCAAACAAACCCAAACCCAAGGGCATCTCAAACACATACACAGCACTGATCCGCTAAGCGGCAAGGTAGTCTCTGCTGGAGCTCTGAGCTGACAGATGGTATTGGAAGCCGAAGCTCCTTGGGCATAGGCCAAATGCTGCTCTGATAAGGAAGGGCAATGGAAGAGCAAGATGGCTGCCAGACCAGACCAAAGGAAGTACCATAACCTTCCCCTTCTAGAGCAGATCCTACAAGGAGCCTTGAGGCCAAATCCATCTATCCAGACAGTCCCCCTCCACCGCTGCCACTGTCTATCTATTTCCCTTTCCCCCAAAGGCAACCTGAAATGACAGGTCCCCAGCTGGCACTCAGAAGGACACACCATGGCTTCTTCTGCCAGCCAGGGACCTAGTGACACATCCCTGTGATCCAAAGTGACAGCCACATCCTGGTTGAAGATCATAGTGGGGGTGATTTCTCATTCTTTGGCCCTTTCCGAGCCAGCTCCAGTGGAAAGGAAAAAGATGCTCCCCCAGATCTCAGCTTTCACTCACAGAACCACATTTCCTAGGGGTTCCTTGGGCAGAGAGCTCAGAAGCTAGACACACAGGAATCTGATGAACATAGAGCAGTTACCTCAAAGGGTGATGAGCTAGGGGTTTTCCAGATATTTTTGGACTACAACTCCCATCCGCCCTGACCATTGGCCATGGTGGCTAATGGGAGTTGGGAGTCCAACACTAACCGGAGGTCCATTGGTTCTCCACCCCAGGTTACTGAAAATGAAATTTCAAGATGGCGATCGGATTTCCCTGCCTTAAAAGTGAAGTAACTCTGCCATTTCAAATGAAGGTGGGAAATTGTACGACGGATGACATTCCTCGAGTCGTGGAATTTCTGTAAACTTCTAAGATGCCACTGAGCTTTACCTAATCATGAAATCTGGATAGTCCTATTCAGGTAAGGAAAACATCTGATGAACTTCAGTGAAGGCAATCCCACCCCCCCTGGCCCCCAACTTTAATAAGTTACCAAGAGTTCTGAAGGGCAGTTTGTACATCCCAGACTAGGGACAAGCAGAGAGAGGACGGAGACTGTGGCCCATGAACTGCAAGGGCATATCAGGTGGCATTTTAAAAAGAAAAGCTTAGCCCCTCAGATGGTTATTAACACAAGCAACTTTGTGGAGAGGTGCCCCCATGGTTAGAGATGAGGCAGGCAGTCACAGGTCAGTTTGGGCAGCCCCCAAATGTGGGCGGCCTATAGCCTCAACAACAGTATGGCTACATCCATGCACAGAAACGGACAACTGGTGGATTGGCTTAGCTGTGAAACCAGACTTATTGCCCCACTTGGGCTTAGACAAACCCAGTAGCATGAACAGTTTCTAGTCATGATAGGTATACTTTGCTTCCACTTTCAGAGACAGCATGACTCTGAATACCAGTTGCTTGGAATCACACCTGGTGGAGAGCACTGTTGCATTTAGACTCTACCTGCGAGCTTCTCATAGGCATCTGGTTGGCTACTGTGAGTACAAGATCCCGGTTTGGACATCCCTTTGGTCTGATCTAGCAGGGCATTGAAATGCTCTCTCTTTTTGTGTGTATATTTGGGCACATGAGCAGGCCATGCCCCAGTGGAGAAGGGAGGAAAGGGTCAAGAGGCTCGTAGGCAGTCAATGTCTATGCTAGTGCCATGCAGACACAGAAGGGGTTGGTTGGAGGTAGGCTTCTTTCAAGGTGATGGGGATGTCTTGGGAGGGCATGTGGGGAACGAGCTTGGGAACCTAGGAAGCTGCCTTACTCCCAAGTCACACTACTGGTGCTCCTAGCTCAGTATCATTTACACAGACCAGCTCTTCAGGGTTATCTGAAGCGGGACAATCCCAGCCCTTAGTGGAGAGTGAGCTTAGGAGTTTCTGTCTGCAGAGCAGATACTCTAACCCTGAGCTACAGCCCTTAAGATAAAGGAAGCTTCTTTCTAACGAATCACACCACTGGTCCACCCAGTTCTATTGTCTACACTAATGGGCAGTGGCTCTCCAGGTTTCAGACAGGGATCTCTCTCAGACCTACCAGGAGATGCCAGAGACTGAACCTGGGACCCTCTGCAAGGAAAGGTGATGCTCTGCCACTTAGCTATGGAGAAATGCTGTAAGAGGAAGAAGAGGCTTAGGACAGGGGTCAGCAAACTGTTTCAGCAGGGGGCCGGTCCACTGTCCCTCAGACCTTGTGGGGGGCCGGACTGTGTTTTGAAAAAAAAATAAATGAACAAATTCCTATGCCCCACAAATAACCCAGAGATGCATTTTAAATAAAAGGACACATTCTACTCATGTAAAAATATGCTGATTCCCGGACTGTCCGTGGGCCGGATTTAGAAGGCGATTGGGCTGGATCCAGCCCCCGGGCCTTAGTTTGCCTACCCATGGCTTAGGAGGAACCCCTTGCACTTTTCCCCTGAAGAAAAGGGAGAATTAGAGGACAAGGAGAAGGGAAGGGAAGGGAAGGAAGTGTTTGCCTGCCAAGCAGCTTCCTTCCAAAATGGCTTCTATGCACCATAATCCAGCTACTACAAGCAGACCGACAGCAGGTTAACAGAAGCCGCAGGGAGCCTGAGAGTAGCTGATGTTGCTGCCAGTTCCCCCTCCATCCAACATATATTTGCTGGTGGTCCAGAGGAGGCAAAGAACCAGACCCGCTGCAAGCTTCCAAAGAAGAAACAGATCCAGGCGCTCCAGCTTCCTTGTTTTAAAATTCTTTATTTATAAAAAAGTACATTTCTTTCCACAGTTGAACCACTAGTTCTCTCTTTTTTAAAAATTTTATACAAGTAAAAGAGGGCAAAGCCATTATTGCTTCCCCCAAAATGAAAAATCCCCCAGTTCAGCCCAAACAAAAAAAGGAACGACGACAAAAGTTATTATTACAAAGAATGGGGAAACAAAATAAAAAGAAATAAAAGAAAAGAAACAAAAAATAATAATCATAAAAGCAATTTCAGTCCATTACATTATTCATAATATTCTTCTCTCTCTCTCTCTCTTTTTACAAAAGCACTTACAACACAGATTACCAAAAAAGTAGATTTTTTTTTCTCGAATGCTGTTTTTATTTATTTATCTTATGTCACAATGATCATTACAGCAGCAGGTGGGATGGGAGGAGAGGGGAGGAAAAGGGTGTGGATACAGTCACGAGTGGATGAAAACACTTTGGAGATTTTCTTTTTCTTTTTAAATGGAAAATAAAATAATCATCCAAGTTTTCATCTGGTGTGCAATTAATCCCCATGGTTATCTATTTACACCGGTTTGAGTATCTTACCCTAGAGAGCCATTACATATACATTCGCTTTCAAGAGAAGAAGGACCCACGGAATGTTCTAGCAAAACAGAATACCCCCACCCTCCCCATTTAGCACCACGTTAACACAAAAAAATCACACCCTTGTACTTTTGGTTAATCGTTCCAGAGTCAGGAACGCCCTCGGGTTCCAGTAGTGACACGGACGACCAGGGTTTAAACCGGGGCCTGGTTTATGGAACTACATTGGGATCAGGCTGTGCAACATGGTTCCCTGTGACTGCCAAGTGGTATGAGGCTTCAGGATTGGCTAGCCCGAGTTTGAATAAATACCAGGATCCTAGCCCTTTGTCTTTGTAAGGTCAACCAGTGATATGTTCGCCTGTTCTCCACTTCAGGTAAAGACACTGATCTCAGGGATCACCTGAGCTGGAAAGGTTTTGTATTTGGATAGAGTGGCTCGCCCCACCACCCAAAAGGCTGGTCACTCTGAGTGTGGCCACCATAGGTGCCAACTCTCTGGGATCCTGGGTGCCCAAGCACCCACAAAATTCCCCATGAAGGAACCCAGCACCCACAAATTTCGGTGCCAGGGTCATGCACATGGCACCCCCGGGCCTGGGCTCCCACAGTCGCTGGGCCAAGCTGGCCACTATAGTTGTAGTCAACTTGGATTTAGGCCAGGATTCCACCTTAAACAGTCATGGCGCCTGGAAGCTGTAGTTTATTATGGGCTCTGTGAGTTGTTAGGGGATTCTGATACCTGCTGCAATTCCCCGAACTCCCCACGAAGAGGGATTGATTGTTAAACCACTCTGGGACTGTAGCTCTGGAAGGGGAATAGGAGTCTCACAACAACTCTCCGCACCCTTAAAAAACCACAGCTCCCAGAATTTGGGTGGGGGCAGCCATGGCTGTTTTGTAGTGCTTCAAATGTATGACATGAATGTGGCTGTAGATTCCCAACTATTTCCCTGACAGAATTCTCAGGGAGCCTAAGCATACCTCAACTGCCCACTCACATGTTCTGGCATCCAATATTTTGTCTTCATTTTAAGGATCTGAAAAACCCCTTTGGCCAAATCTCCTGGCGATTCTACCCAAATAATGAGCGGCTTTCCGGCATCACCACCCCCTTAAAAATCTAAATGGCTTCCCCAGTATGCGTCTTGTTTTGCAATCAAGACCACCCCAACGTTGGTGCCTCCCCCTTACAGGAAACCTTCCCTTTCTCTCTCTCTCTCTTAAATGAGCTGAATAAAAATTATTCAAAGGGAGGCGAGGAAAGAAAATCGGTCCCATAATTAAATAAGGGAAATCAAATCGCTACGGTAAATTGAGATGGGTAATCCCAGACATAAATCCCATCAGAAAAACACCTGCCATGTTCTATTTCAAACGGATTTAATTTGGCCGATAACACAGTTTTCTTCCCCCCACCTTTTTTGCTGGGTGTCCAGGAATGGGGGTGACAGAGATAAGTTTGTGCCCAGAAGCACTATTCTCCTACCACCCCACTGCACATCTTTGGGATCAACCTCACATTAATCAAAATGGGCAAGGGATCAAGAAAAAATGGGGAGTGGTTCTAACAACAGACTATTAGCCATAAAAGTTAAATGGAACCTCCAGGTCAGGGGCAGTCTACCCCTGAGAACCAGATGTTGCAGACAACAGGATAGGGGCTGCTGCTTTTGTGCCATGGCTGTGCAATTTCAGGCAGCAGATGGCTGCCTGGTGTTGGGAACAGGATGTTGGGTCTCTAGCAGTCTCTGCCAACTTGGTGCTTTCCAGATGTTGCTGAACCACAACTCCCATCAGCCCCAGCAAGTATGGCCAATGGATAGTCACTGATGGGAGTTTTAGTCCAGCAACATCTGGAGGACCAAAGGATTGCCTGCAACCGCTTTACTGTGTCATCTCCAAGTCTCTGGACCAAACAGCAACCAATGTGTCTTCCTTCTGTAACGCGGCTTGTGCCAAAGTTGCTATGCACCCCAATCGCATACAAAATGGCCACCTCAACACCTACAGTCTGACTCAGTGGCTGGAGAGCCTGATACAAGATGTAACACTCTAAGAAGTACAACAAGAATGAGGAACTCCCAGTCTGCACCTTAAGGGGCTTCTCTATCAGGCCTGTGGGACCTCTTCATCACGCCAGCAGTTTCAGTACAAGCTGGTCTTCAAACTAGCAGCAAAGTGGATTGAGAAGAGAGGTGGAGACAATAAATGGGAAAACTGGGGGGGGGGCTCAGAATGTGCTCGGAGATCCTTATTAACAAGGACTGAATGTGGCCCAAATGTTGGGCCATGCACAGCCAATACACTAGGTGTGGGGGTGAAGATATGCTGATACCTAGAAGAAGAAAACTATAGCTGAACTTATGGTTTGGTTTTTTGTTTTACATTTCCCCAAACTGCCCCAGTCCTTCTCCTTTTGTTGCTGCCACTTATTTTGCAGTGGATGCAACACTGTTTTACTCTCATAAGTTGGTTAAGAGTGAATAGTGAAGACAGGAAGCATTGTCCTCATTCTGAACTGGCTTCAGAACTATGCTATATCACTATGGGCATCAACCAGAAGCCAGATTGTGGGCAATCCTTCTTGCCCTCACTCTAAAGGGGCTTCTGGGAGAGAAAACATGATGGTTGTCATGTTAAAGTTCATTTCCCCCCTTTTATGCCCTAACTCTGCCTTTTCCTTCCTTCCTTCCTTCCTTCCTTCCTTCCTTCCTTCCTTCCTTCCTTCCTTCCTTCCTCTTTATGCCTCTGGTGGCTCACCAGAAAAAGCAGTGGAACCCAAAACTGCCTACGGTTCTAGTAAGAATTTTTTTCAACTGGAACTTAGTTCTGGCACCTCTCAGATGGGTGCCATTGCTATTATAAGAGAACAAATGAGGCATTCGTGGTGAGTTCTGGCACCTCTTTTTCAAGAAAAATAATACTGGTTCTAGTCTTGGTGATTCCTGGCAAGGCCTCTATGAGCTGCGCTCTTCAGGACTTGGTGTAATGGATGTGAATCAAGAGTTAACCGGGCATCCCCTTATGCATTAACCAGGTTAGCTTTCGAATCAACCCATCCTCCCGCTTATTTTAATTTTTAAATTTACATTGCAACCAAATTTTGGGGGGAAAGAAAAGAAATTTTTATAGGTTTGCAGTCTGTGTTCTGTTCAAGCAACACATGCTCAGAAATGATAAAAGTAGCCTAAAGCAGTTTCAGAAGATTTCTGAATACTTCTCAGATGGACTTTCCACCTTTCTGAGGTGCTAATAAACCTTTGCCTAAAACAAAATTCAAGGAAAGCGAGGAAAACTGAGCCCATGCTCAATAGCTGCTTGCATTTCAAGAGACACAAACTTTCCTAGGATTACTGGTGGTTCCTGGTTCTTGGTGGGGTGTTGGTGGAGAAAAGCAGAAATCTTGTATCTCGACAAAACCACCTGATGCTTCTATACATCTATGGGTCTATACTGCAGTTGTTCCCAACTATGAGTCCCCAAAGGTCACTGGGTGACCCACTGTCATCTCCAGAAAGCATAGCCACTGGCCAGGGATGATGGCAACATGAATCTCCAGATACCTACAGCTGCAGCAATGGATGCTCCTAGTGTTATCAGAGGCCTGGCACTGACAAAAGCCTTGATCCATAATTTTTTGTTCTGTTTTTTTTGCTTTTACAGGCATCTTATTTCACGCTATGGATTAACTGTGAATCATTTAGCCTTGCTAATTAGGGTCCCGCGGGGGTCTTGCATCCAATTCAGGGCCGCTTAATACATGCTGAATTTCCTACACAGATTATCGATGCTGCGCAAACAGCGACGCGGCACCCGCGCATTCTCCTGCATGCCAAATTAACACCCGCCTCTTTTGCCTCGCAAGCGTGGCCTGGAAGCTCCAGTTGGGTGCTGTCGTACGTCTATATGGAAGCGGTATCTGCCGCAAACCTGGAGTCCTGCTCGCTTCAGCAGGCACGGTACGAAGGCTGGTGGTTGCTTTGCCTTCCCATTCCATGGCAGATTAAGAAGAACAAGTGCATAGATGTACATACAGGAAATCTGTCTTGGGCGTTGGACTTCAAATTGACTCATTACATGGGCAATTGGAGAGAGGCTTTTCAAATGGAGGATAGGTTTGTCTGTGATATTGGCCATCATATGCCTACAGATCAGATGTGTCCAGGATCAAAACAGCATATATAAAGTCCCACCTGCATTATGCATTTAAAGCATTATCATACCACAACTGTGGCACATAATTTAAGGGTGCTGAGCATTGTTAAGAGACCTCTATTCCCTCCACAGAGTTGCACTTCTCAGAGGGGTTTAACACAATCCCTCTTCCAGGAGAATTATGGGAATTGTAGTTCTGCGAGGAGAACAGGGGCTGCCTGACAAGTCCCAGGATTCTTAACGAACTTTACTTCCCAGGATTCTTTGTTCGGGGTAGGCCATGGCTGTTTAAAGTGGTATGGTATTGCTTTAAACATATAGTGCAGCTTAGCCAGCATAACTTCCTCCCAAAGAATCCTGGGCACTGTAGTTTTGACTGTGTTGAACATGCTCTACCGTTTCCAGGGCTCTCTGGGGAGAGCGTATGACTGCTGAAGCCTGCAGAGTAGATCCCTCCAAGAGGAATGCAGCAGATGCTGCCTCTGTTTTTGCTAGAGCCTTTGACAAACTGCTCTGTGCCCTGTGGCTATTGAAGACACAGATGCAGTATTTAGATCAGGACTTGCTTTTTGTTTGTTTGAAACCTTTCTCGTTTTCTCTTACAAGGAGCCAACAGCTTACGTACAGATCTCTCTGTGCATTCCACATGGCCATGGTCTTGAAGCCATCTGGAGGGATATTTGGGATCTTGGATGTATCAGATTTCACTACAAGAAAACACTGTGGACACTGAATATGCACAGGTTGGGGTGCCTAAGCCCAAGATCCACCTCTGATCTATGCATATCCAGTATCCATGGACACGGGACATCTGAGAGGGGCTCAAGTTTCCAGATCTCATTACTGCCTGTAAAAACACCTCTGTGTTTTTCCTCTGTTCCTCACCCCTTTCTTGAAAAAAGCAAATGACGCCCCCTCCCACCATCCAAATTATTTGAAAACTCAACTCTCAACATAGGAGGAAATGATGCACATCTAGTCATATCAATGCAAACAAATGTGTCGTTTATTCAGGTTGCAGAATTTCGGCCTCCCGGATGCAGAAAATTTTGGAATCCATTTCCCCTGCGGTATACATGTCCTGCTCCTGCCTTCCCTCAAGACATGCAACAGATGGAGGGGGTATTTCGTCCTACCCTGAAAGATGTCACATGGCAGAAGTCCCCTGTGGTCAGACCGAGAGAAGCCTCCAGCGATTAACGAGCCGTGGGAATGAAAGCTATGCACACAGTGAGCAGCCACTGAAAATGTTAACCTCCTCCTTGTGGCAATGGCTGCTGCCTGCCAAGTCCCCAATATTTAAAGAAACGCTATCAGCACGCCCACTTCCATTCCCTGCAAGCAATGATGGGTATGAATGCATGGTCAAGCAAACACTGATCCTGTGGAGGAGGCAACAACTTGCCTGATCCAGCCCTTGGAGATTTCTTCCTCCTTCATAGAGCAACACTTGAGAATGTGGGACGTTGCCCTTTGACTAAGCCAGGCCTCAGGAAGCTGCCTTATATGGAGTCCCTCTAAGGTAAAAGCGGTAAATGACCCCATGACGGTTAAGTCCAGTCAAAGGCGACTATGGGGTTGTGGCGCTCATCTCGCTTTCAGGCCGAGGGAGCCGCCGTTTGTCCACAGGCAGCTTTCCAGGTCATGTGGCCAGCATGACTAAACTGCTTCTGGCGCAACAGGACACCGTGACAGAAGCCAGAGTGCACGGAAACGCCGTTTACTTTCCTGCCGCAGCGGTACCTTTTTATCTACTTGCACTGGTGTGCTTTCAAACTGCTAGGTTGGCAGGAGCTGGGACAGAGCAATGGGAGCTCACTCATCGCAGGGGTTCGAACTGCCAACCTTCTGATTGGCAAGTCCAAGAGGCACAGTGGTTTAGACCACAGTGCCACCCGCATCCCCTGTGGAGTCCATTTTCCTCAGTACTGTCTCCGCTAACTGGCAGAGGGTCTATGGGATTTCAGGCAGGGTTCTCTTCCAGCCCTACCTGGAGATGCCATTGGGGGTCGAACCTGGGACCGCCTGCATGCAAGCCCACCTTTGAGCACCGAGCTATGGCCTGTCCCCTGCAGCCTTCAAGTAACACTGAGCATGTGGGAAGGGAATCACTCTGCGCAGCCAACCAGGAGCAAGAGGTTGGCAGGAGTTAGCAGAGAGAGCCACGGGAGCCGAATGGCCCATTGGCAACCTCTATGTTGGGCCCAATTTGACTCTGTGGTGCCCCTTCCTTGTTTATCTATGTGTGGGGGCGGGGGGGGGAGAAAGCAAATTTTGATAACACACATAGTTTTCTGAACACATACCAAAAGCCTCATGAGGCATGCCCATTGTGGGAAACTTAGGGAGATAGGAAGCTTGCCTTATACTGAGGCAGACCACTGTTTGTCCATCTAGCTTAGTACTGTCCGCACTGATTGGCAGCAGCTCTCTGGGATTTCAGGCAGCCCTATGTGGGAGGTGTTATCGGGATCTGAACTCCGGACCTTCTGCATGCAAAGCAGTGCTCTGCCATTGAGCTATGGCCCTCGGACGCTCCACCCCTCCGACTGAAAATAACAATAATCGTTAAAAAGCAAAGCGCGAACACAGGAGGAAAATTGCTACACTTGCCCTCCTGGATATCATGCAGTTTCCTGTTGTACTTTCACGGTTGTTCTTTTGATGATCAAGTCATTTGTTATGTTTCCTAAAAAAACACACACACACAAGGCTGGTGGATTTCGCTTCCCCACCACAAGTGCATTGTGGGAAATGGCAACAGGAGCTCAAATGAATATACAGATACAGATATACAAGCCCAGTTGAGGGTGGAGATGCCTTTGCCCCAGACCATCTGAGCTTTTTGTGCTTTCTGTCTTTGTGGCCCCCCTCCCAGTCCAAAAAATTCATTGGTGTGTGATTTAGGCCCCCGTCCCCCGTACAACGTTAAGACAACATACAAGTTCCAGTGTTTTTTTTGTGTGTTGGGGGGGAGGGGGGCATCGGGGGGGGGGAACCCAAATATTGACAAAGAGACACCTTAAGACTACAAACAGAAGGGTTTCTTCGGGGGGGGGTTTCAGTATACTATACAAGGGTGGGCAGTAGTCATTAAAAGGAAAGGAATCTTAACACCAAAGCCACAGAAACAACACTTTAGGGAACAAAGATCTGGTGGAGGACTTAAGGGAGTGGGGGGGGGGCAGGGAAGGAGAAATGTTCCCCCCTCTCCCAAACCCCTCCCTCCCCCCCCACAACAAAAGCAAAAATGGATAAAACGGACGACCAGCCCCCTCCTGCCTCGCCTTGTCCTGGTTGCCTCTGAACCAGCAGCAGTTCATTAAAGGAAAAGAAAACAAAAAAACAGAGAGTCTCTGTCACACTACGCGCCCTGCCCTGGTCGATGTGTGTTGTGTGTGTGCGCGCATGGGCTCGTGCGTGAGGAGGGCACGCAGGGGCTGTGCGTGACAGCTGGTGTGGCCCTGGGGCTCGGAGGCAGCGCGTGGCGAGTGCGAGGAGGCAAGAGAAGGGGGGTTGGCCGGAGCGAGCTAAACATACCACTCCTTTTTGGAAATAAAAGACCCGTCGTTCTGAGAGACCATGTTATCGGCTATGTCCAGCTGCTCGGGGTCATACTGGAAACCGAGTGTCCTCTCGTCGTAGGCCTCCGAGCGGGCCTCGCCCTCGTCCACCGTGAAGTAAGGCCGCTTGGAGTCGTCTTCGTACTTGCCGGGGGGCCCCCCGCCCAGCTTGCGGTCCCCTCCGGCGCCGTCCTCCTCCTCATCCTCGTAGCTGTGGCCCCCCAGCGGGCCGGCCTTCTTCTCGTCGTCCGAGTCGTCGGGGTACTGGAGGTTCTGCGCCATAGGCGGGTGGTGCTGTGGGATGCCGGCTTTGCTGTAGCCGTTGCCGTAGACGTGCTTCTTGGTGCTGTAGTCGCCCTTGAAGGTGTGGCGCCGGTGGCGGAGCACGACAAAAACCACCACGGCCAGCACCACGACCAGGGAGACTCCGCCCACCACGCCCCCAATCACAGCGGTGGGGATGGTCGACTGCGCCACGGATGTGCCCGGTGGAGACGGGGTGTAGGGGAATTCTGGGTAGGAAAAGACAGATGGAAGGGGGAACAAGCGTCAGTCTGTGAGGAACGGCCACACCATGCTTTAAGAATTTAAAGAAACCAAATTCAAAAAAAATATATATCGGGGAGGGTGGGGGTGGGGAGATGAGGAGAAGGGAAAAGGGAGGGAAAAGTCGGGGAACGGGGGGTGGCTACCTACGGAGGCCCTCTGCTCAGCCTCTGTGCGTCGAATTAAGCCTCAAAGTCCGCTTCTGTCAGCACAAGCAAGTTAGCAACATGCATCAGCCCAGCGCATCGGAACATCCCGACTCCATGTTCCTGTCAGAGCCAGGAGCTCTGAAATGCCAACTGCATGCACTCACCCCACCCCAGGGAAATATCTTTAGGTGTTGGGGACCAGAGCTGAAGACACCGTGCTCCTCAAATTTCCCTTCAAAATTCCACCCCACATTTTTTGACCCCTATCCTGAGCACTCGAAGAACATCTGCCGAATATTCGCAGAATATTTGACAGTGGGTGATCATCAGGCTTCTGTTGCTGTTTGGTACGTGTTTGATAAAGTTTCCCGCTCAGAGATGTTAAGATCCCATGAAAAATCGAGGCAGGTGGATAGAAGCCGTTGAGCCTTAAAAACGCAGCATCCTATTTGCAATGCAACTTTGAATGATTCTTGCTTCGAGTTTGCAATTTTGCAGGCAGTTTATGCATTTAAAATTTATATACCGCTGGGTTGAAGAAAACCTCAAAGCAGTTTACAAAGAGAATAAAACAGGAAGGTTATTGGTATTTTTATTATTATTTTAAAAAATCTTTCAAAGAAGAGCAGCTATTTGCAAAACTGCAAATTCCGTCATGTTGTCCAATTTGGTTTTGGGTGGGTGGGTGGACTCCTATCTGTGACTATTTGCTTCAGCTCAATGGGCACCCCACTTAGGAATCAGTTCTGATCTCTAGAGCTTGCCTGGAATAAGACCCCTGTGTGTGAGCTTTCCAGGGATAAACAGCAGGCACACCTGAAAAGTTTAAAAGAGAGGCACCCTCTCCCACCACACTCTACCCCTCAAAGAGACCCCCCATTCTTTCACAGAAAGGTAACATTTCATTAGATGTGGCTTCGCCCCACAGATGTCCAAATCATGCCATTATTCCTCTTTGAAAATTGGGGAAGAGAGATTGTGTGAGCCAGACACCCAAGTGGTGGGATGTGGTATTACGTCCTCTCCTAGCTCGCCCTAAAAATTTGCGAGAGGCTTTGGAAAATATTAATGTGATGCAATCCATTAAACCAGCACTGAAAGGAAGTTCCATCAGGGCACCTACTGTATTCAGCAGGGATGTGTTGCATTTATTTAAATAATGATAATCTGCACCAAGTTAACCTCATATCTGCACCCAGAGAGAAAGCCACTCAACCTGTATGAGTTATCCATGTTTCGCTTACACCTTTTTATTTACTAATTTTGTAAAATCCGGCACTCAGGGGTAGACTGTGTGTGTATATGGAGGCTTCATTTTTTTTTTGCTGCCGAGTCCCACATCCCTCCATGGAGTTGACTGGCCAAAACCATTGGTGCCAAGGCAGTGGTCACCTTTGCATCCGGGCTGGGGTGGGGTAGAGCAAACTCCCTAAGTTAACGACACCTCATGAGAAGCAGGGGCTTCTCACAAATTTATGCCCGGCCAGTTTCACTATGTTGACCCTCAATTCTCCCCGAGGGAAGGGAATGGTTTCCTACCAGCAACCCTCTCCCACTGCTCTCAAACTTACAAACTTCCATGGTACACCCTGTCAACCATTTCACACCAAAGCACCAATTCCCATCCCATCTTCTCTCTCCTCACAATAGAGGAAGTATTTTTTTCGTCTTCCACGAAATGGAAAAATGAGCGCGAGAAGGTAGACCGGCCAAGGTCATGCAAGAACTCAGAACAGGGCGGGGGTGAGGTTGGGGTTAGACGCCTGGCTTTGAGCCAAAGGCATTATCGTTGCTGAAAATTAGCCCAAGCAAATGCTGGATGGCAAGGGAGAGAAAGAAGGAAAGAAAGAATGAATGAAGGAAGGACAGAGAGAGGGGGATCTTGTTTGGTGCATACAAATTTAAGATGCATGCCAGAATCCTACAGCTGAAAAGCCTCCCTGCCCCGTCACCACAAATCCCAGGCTCACCTGCATCCGTCAACCCCACCAGTATATTTTCTCATCTCCCCCCCAAAAAACCATCAAGTTGTTTTCACTACATGTTCCAGTCTAGAAACCTTGCCCTCCAGATCCCACCACATGGGGCTGCGATTGCTCCTTGGTGCACTCTGCAATCTGCTCAGAAGTCCTCTCTCCTCCCTATTGCACCATGTGAGTTGGGCGTAGCAAATTCAGCCCAAGAGCCCTAGACAGGGAACATTTGTGGGGAGAGGATGCATGCCCCCAAACATAGCACCCCAAAGGACCGAGCAAGCTTTCCATTGCAGTTGTAAGGAGGGTGCTGCCAGGGACCGAGCAAAGGAGCCCATCTCCCACCAGGGCAGACCTGCACAACGCGAACAAGGACCATAGCTTAGTGGTACAGCAGTCTGCCTTGCATGCAGAAGGTTCCAGGTTCGATCCCTTGCGTCTCCAGGTAGGGCTGGGGCAAAGATCCAGGCCTGAAACCCTGGAGAGCTTCTGCCAGTCAGAGTAGACAGTACTAGATGCACCAATGGCGTGAATGGTATAAGGCAGCTCCCTAGGTTCCTCACTTGCAACCTGTGGGGTGAGCAAAACAGCAGGGAGAGGGGAGATCTTCACCCTCTTTCTCTGCCTGTCTCTCAATTCCAGAGGAGACTGCAACTCTGGGCTCAGACTCCAAGCTCACCCATCACCCCCCGCCGCCATGCCACACTTCCCATTATTAACAATTCAGTAGCAAAATAGCAAGATGCCGTTTGTTTTCACACAATCCCCCGGCACTTGTGTGCCCGCCCCTGTGACACCCTGTTGCCATGACACTTCCACAGATCTTTCCTTCCCCAATGCCGCCTGCAAGGTGAATTGTGGTTAGGGGTGGGCCGGAGGGGGGGTGGGGAGAGAGAGATTATAGTTTCCAGCATTTGCATCCAGTCTCTCTGCTTCTCTCAAAGCTTCCCTGCTCCCCCCCCAATTTATCCTTTGCCTCCAAGCTGTCTTTTTCTCTTTTACTGGGCTTGAAACATAAGGCTTGACACACAGGGATGTTTCCTATTCCTTTCCTATCACACAGAAAGCCTTGCCTGCTAAATGGCTGGGTGGTGTTGCACTCAAGGTAGGGTTCCGCTTAGGGGCAGAGGAGCAGCGGCTGGTTAGAAATTTGGCAACCTCACACAGCTCACTGTTCAATGACTTCGGGAGACCGTGGGTTCAATCCAGGGCTAGTCCTACTCAGAGTAGGGCCCTTGACTACGTTAGAGTAGTTCATTTCAATGGGTTTTCTCCAAGCGGAACCGAGTTGGCTACAAGCCCAGGAAACCCAGTTTTGTGGGGGAAATACCAATCAGAGTAGGAGGAAGAGCAAAAGGGGAACCAGAAGTAGAAAAGAAGGGAAGGGAAGGGGTTTGTTTGTTTTTTTGAGAGAAAGGGACAACCATCTTATGGAAGGGATAATGAAAAGGAACGTTCACAACACCGCCACTTGGTGGCGGTAGAGACCAGCTCTGCGCCCCAGATTCTTGGTGGGGAGGCGACTTTCAAGAGCATTTTGAGATTCCTTGCAGCCCCCTTTGCCCTCTGCAAACATCCTTTGCGGACGAGGCCTTCCTTCCTCCCTTTCTGTCCAAGAAACAAGCTCCAAGCCAGGGTTGCTTTTCCTGTGAGATCCCCTAAGGACAGGGAGATCCTCTACAAACAGCGTCATCCCAAACCGTTGGGATTCCCTTTGAAGCTCAGAAGATCCTCAGCCTGTATCTCAACCTTCCCTCTCCCAAGCCAGTCATACTAGGAACATTTCACATTGTCTGACTGCACGGAGATGTTCAGAAACCTCAATGAGATGCCAGGTTGCAACAGGGTTGGGAAGACATGTGGAATTGCAATGATTTGTCCCCTGCCAAACAGTGATGGGGAGCCTTTTTCTTCTTCCAGCCTGAGGCCTGCATGCCTTCTAGCGGCAAGTGGGGACAGAGGCAACAGCGTGTGGAGGCAAGGCCAAGAGTAGGCAGAGCTATGGCCGTGACTCTTAACTTTCTGCAACAGGCTCCATTTCAGCCACGCAAAATCCAGAGGCAAGGAAGACAGCCTGAGGTTCTCCACTCCTGTCATAGTCCAACACTTTGAATGCTACATTACACAACATTGCCTCTTCTTGAAGGCCAGATTACATCTAACTCTAGAATTAGGAGCATTCTCACCTGCAACCCCATTGGACTATGACCTCTGTTTGCGTGCTCCAAAATTACCTGGGACCTCAGCTCTTCCTAACTGGCTTTTTCTCAGCCAGGTCCACCAAAAGACAAAAGATTCGGGGTTACATCCAATGCTAGTTCTACTCAGAGAAGACCCACTGAAGTTGATGGGTGACTTTGAAGAGTTGCCGGAACTCACCATGAATGCCTCCACTTCAGAGGTGCCAGAACTGAGCTTTGTCGATTTCTGGCCGAAAGAAACCCCCTGGTTGTATCTAACTAAGGTTCATTAATTTCAATGGGTCAACACAGTGGCATACAAGCTTTTGACTCCCCCCCCCCAATCCCACATCAGTGTCGTCTTTCCACCCAGCTCTGCTGGCCCAAAGTTGACCTCTGCTGATGATGAATAACTTATCCTTTCTGCAGGGATCATTCCAGATTCCCTCACTCAGGCGTCTCGGCTGCACCGTCTGTCCTGTGTGGTTCGTTTCGCACATTGCACAGCGGCAGAAAACACACGCCACAGGCCTGCACCACTGCAGAATATACCTGGCCAAAGCCCGACATCCTGGACTAGATGGGCCACTCGCCTGATCCAGCAAGACTCTTCTTATGTTCGAGTCCAGCATCTTGCTCTCCAACCAGATGCCTTTGGGACGCCTGCATAAAAGACCTGAGTGCTCTCTCCCGCTGGTGATGTCTAAATCTAAGAAGCTACCCAAGACTGTTGTCTGACCATTCAGCCCTTTAGCCCACTCTGCAGGATCATTCGCTTCCTGGTGCATTGGGCCCCCAAGCCAATGAATGGGTGTGCATGCCTGATGTTGGGGCTCCCCATCTCTGGCACCGAAATGGCTCGGACAGGCCCTTGCAAAATGGTTGTGCCAGCCTCAGAAATCCTGGGGACACCCCTTGCCTCCAAGGGGCCCAGTCTCGCTGCAAATCTGCACTGGGGGTGGGAGTCTGTTGCTGCATCTGAAAACCCCATTAGGAGGAAAACAATCTGGAGAGGATTAAAGCCCTGCCATGACATAGGAAGCAGGCAGAGGGTGGGGAGCGGTTTAAAGAGAATCCATCACACTTCTCCTCCCCCTTTGGTGGCGTATAAACCTCTTTTGTCCTCCCCCCCATTAAAACAGCGGGCAGGGGCATGAAAAGCGGCTACCTCGGATTCCACCCCCTCCTCATTTTGCTCTGACAGCTGTTGCATTCAGGCAAGGCTTCCTGTCCTGCTGCCAATGGCTCTATCTCCTGGGGCAGCAGCTGGAAGCAAAGAGAATAGAGGGATCGCTTTGGGTTTCGCTCTGGAATGGGGCCGAGGCTGCTGCGTTTCTTTGATCCCGCCAAAGGGAAAGACAATGGGGGACTTATTTAGGAAAGAGCGATGAGTGCGAACAGGGGCCTGCACGGGAGTCGGGGATTCTCCTCTTCTGGGCAAGGAGGTTTGTAGGATCCTTTCCAGGAAAGGCTGGCACTGAGTGGGTCCCACCTGTTGCTGACAGACAGCTGGAGGGGCCATGGCAGCAAAAGATGCCCAGAGAGGGCCTCCCCTCTCTTCCCACAAAGATGGAAACACAGCACACCAAATTAATAACTCTCACACTGATTATTCGCGGAGGCACGCCATGCCGTCGTTTTCCAGCACGCAACAGAGGTTGGAGGGAGACCTTCCATTTGTCAAGTTTCTAGATTCCCTTTCTGCCACAGAATCTCAGGGGCTGCTTCTCTCATTAGAACTTCGCAGAGTCGTATTTGAAGTCACACGTCCTGAGCATAAGGAGAGAGCTTTTGAATGGTAAAAGCTCCTCATTCTCCCACCCCTCTTTCAACCATATTACATACAAATGCCTGAGTTCCCTTTTGGCTACCAGTACATCCATCTGCGGGACGCGGGTGGTGCTGTGGCTTAAACCACAGAGCCTAGGGCTTGCAGATCAGAAAGCCGGCGGTTCGAATCCCTGCGACGGGGTGAGCTCCCGTTGCTCGGTCCCTGCTCCTGCCAATCTAGCAGTTCGAAAGCACAAAAGTGCAAGTAGATAAATAGGTACCGCTCTGGCGGGAAGGTAAATGGCGTTTCCATGAGCTGCATGCTGGCCACATGACTCAGAAGCTGTACGCCAGCTCCCTCGGCCTATAGAGCGAGATGAGCGCCGCAGCCCCAGAGTCGTCTGCGACTGGACCTAATGGTCAGGGGTCCCTTTACCTTTATCTTTACATCCAGCTGCTATTCTAGCCTTCCCCAATGGCCAGGCATGATGAGAGTTGTAGTTCAGCACCCTCTGGAGGGTTGGGGAAAGCTACATGACACTACCTTAATTCTACCACCTCTTCCTGCAGCAAGTTGCAAAGCCTGGAGTGGAGTGTTTAGGGAATGGGCTAAGCATGGATCCCTTCTCCACTATGATGCTCATCAGGATATGATTCTAAAAGTGGGTGGAGACAAGCTTCAATGAAACTCTGGACTGGATTTGTGGCTTGTGGCTTGTGGCTACCTAGCCCATAGGGGCATAGTCAGTGGGCTTATGCTGAGTCAAGACCATTGATCTCAGTTTTGTCTACACAGACTGGACGTGACTCTGCTGAGGTTTCAGACAGGGAATCCTTTTCATCTCCCCTGTGGTGATGCCATTAAGGTTTCAACCTGGGATCTTCTGCAGGCAAGGCAAAGCAAGGCAAGGCAAGGCAAGGCAGGTGCTGTACCACTCAGCTATTGCCCCTTCCCAGCCTTCTGGCACACCAAACCTCAGGAAGGTGCAGGACAATGAAAGTCCTTCTTCTGCAGGAATTATGGAACTCACTCCCCCAGGAGGCAGGGATTAGACAAATTTATGGAGGAGAGAGCTCTCAATGGCTACTAGCCACAATGGCTCTGGGCTTTGCTTCCATGTTTAGAGGAAATAATGTGGAAGAGTTCTCTTCCTGGTTGGCCACTGTGAGAACAAGGATGCTGGCTGGCTGGCCATCAGTCATGGATGCTTTAGCTGAGATTCCTGCATTGCAAGGGGTTGGACTAGATGACCCTGGGGCTTCCTTTCCAACTCTACAACTCAATTGGACTGATCCAGCAGGCTCCTCTGCTGCTTTTTCTACCCTATGGTAGGGTATTGTGCCAAAGAAGAGAGAAAGGGTAGGTTTGTGTGCAATGTCCCTTTCTGAAACCACTGGGGACTCGCCCAGAAGTTCAGCAGCTGCCGTCGGCTTTCCAGGCTCCTGCGATAGGTTTCAGGACAGATGCCAGACGGGTCTTAGGATTTAATCTTTCTGCAGGGTCACCTACTGCTTGTCAATCAAGCACTTCCTGGCGGGGGACTGAGGTGGGAGCTGGCATCCTGCCCCCCCTGCCCTGCAGACTAGGAGGCCAGGTTTCAAAGCAGTCGAGTTTCACTCCTGAATGGGGGGTGCCTGGGATGGTGCTCTGCTACTGTGCAATTTACTTGTCCATTTACCTATTTGAAATGTGTTGCTTTCCTTCAAGTTGGGCCCAAAGGGACAGGTAATAAGAGATTTGAAAGTGGCACCTTCTCACAGTTCCTCGTATCTCCCCTCTCCTCTTCCCATTTCCCCCAGTTGTTGACTTTGGATCCAGAGATGTCTCCATCTATGCCGGAATGCTTTTCATTCTCTATTGCTTGCTTGCTTAATTCATCACCAACAATCATTGTCTCCTACATGCCCTCCTTTAAAGCTGTCATCTGATTAAAGATATGCACATCCCTGTTTGATTTCTGGTTAAAAACCCAAGAATCCATTTTCATTTCAAAACAAATGCGAGTGTCACTGAAACCTCTAGTCAGGAGGTTGCCGAGGTTCGTGCGAAATAACTTTCTGAAGCCTCTCACAACCAGGCACAATGAACTACAACTCTCCAGCGCAGCTGTTGGGGCGTTGTAGTCCAAATGTCTGGAGGGCACCAGGTTGGGGAAGCCTGCTGTGAGCTTTCAGAAGCAAAGCCTCTTGCTTGTCACTGGAATGAAACTGCACCATCACTTTCCTCAAGTTTCCTTTCCTTTTCCTCCTCGCACAATGAACGAGAACCAAAAGTGTCTCGGAGAAAACTCCACAGCCAAATCGCGTGTAAGCATTAAACTGCCAATCAACTAAATGCAATTAAAAGCCACGGGGGAGAGTGCTGTTGCATTCAGGCATGGGCACCAACTTTAATAAAATATTGGGTGTGTGGGTGTCAGATAAGCCCTGTACCCGATCCTAGCAATGGAGGTACCTAGGGCTGCTGAAAGTTTATTCCCCTCTCACACCAACTTTTCCCCCCAAAACAGCTTTGTGAGGTGGACTGGCCTCAGAAACGACGACTGGTTCAGGGCTACTCTGAATCCTTACAGCTAAAATGGGACTTGAACCCAACTCTCCCCAAGCCCAATTTTCTGGGCATCTGGTTGCCCCCCCCCAAATAAAATAAATAAATGAAGGCTGGCTGGCTGCAAAAATATGCACTGGCCTGCTTGGGCATATTTTTAGGACCCATAGTGTTTTCAATTGCTCTTAAATATTGCATTTTAATTGCTGTAACCTGCCCTGGGACAATGAGTGAAATGGCAATGCCTATCAATTTTTTTGGGGGGCTCCTCAAATATTTTATTGGGGGGGCTGAAGGGAGCTGGTACAGTTGGTGCCCACACGCTCAGGTCCTATCTATGGGTTTTCCACAAGCATCTGGGTGGCCACAGTGAGATGAGGATCCTGGACTAGTTGGCCTGATCCAACGCGCTCGTTTTCCATTCTTATTACTGCACAGGGCTGTGAGGAAACATGAGTAACTGAACGTCTGGGTGCGCGCGCGACTGCAGCAGAGGAAGATCCTGCCTCGTTTCCAACTGCGTAGCTCTGGCTGATTCTGCATCTGTGCGCCCGTGCGTGAAGCTTCCCTGTGCATGCCTGCGCTTCTGCGCCCGCAGATGCTTGGTGGAGCGTGCTCCCCTGCAGGGCGACATGCAAATCCTTGGGAAGCCCCTCCGAAGACACGTGTGGGTGCCGCTAAGCCTCTCCTCCTCGTTCTGCACCCCCAAACACACAAGCAAGCCGGCCGTAATGAAGTTGCACGTCTTGCAGCCTGGATTCACCTCGGCTGACAAATGTCCTGCAACGCCAAGAAAGCTATTACGTGAACAGATTGTGGGAATAAAATATTAAACTTCCACTTATCCATCTTTTTAATGTGCTGTAACTCTTAATGCCAGCTTGCAGCCAGTGCTGGGAGCTCATCATCAGGGGGTTGGCCCAGGCAGGCAGGCAGGCAGGCAGGCAAACACAAACACACACACACACACACACACACACACACACACACTCCTTCCTTCCCAAGGCAGGGTGAGAATCTGCAGTGCGGAAGAGCATTGTGGGAAACGTGTTTGTTTATGATCAACTGCAAGCACAAAAACTCCCGAGACAGCCTTCTCCGAGGGCTCTTCGATCTGGGATCATTTGTGGTTTTGCATAGATGACTATTTGCTGGGAATTTCAAGGCAGTGTAATAAATATCATTTTAGTTTGAAACACAGTGAGTTCAAGGTCTTACTATTGGTATGGAAAACCCTTAACAGCTCAGGACAAGTTTACTTAATCTGTACAGTGGTACCTCGGGTTAAGAACTTAATTTGTTCTGGAGGTCCGAAACCTGAAACTGTTCTTAACCTAAGGCACCACTTTAGCTAATGGGGCCTCCCGCCGCCTCGTGATTTCTATTCTCATCCTGAAGCAAAGTTCTTAACCCGAGGTACTATTTATGGGTTAGCAGAGTTTGTAACCTGAAGCGTCTGTAACCTGAAGCGTCTGTAACCCGAGGTACCACTGTATATGCCTATTTGATCAATTCAATCCACAGAATGGGAACTATCTGCAAGGGCCACACAATGCCCATTCTGAGTTTTACCATGGCAGCACATGTCCTTTGGAATTCCTTGCCTTTTGATGTTAGGCAGCCACCATCATTGTAAACTCCCCTATGATCATCAGATGAAGGCGCTATAGAAAATTAATAATAATGGTAGTAATGAAATTCTGACACTTACTGAATACTTTTCTGTTTCAACAGTTCTATCCAGACACATGATTTATTGCATTTTAGCCTTTTTAGATGTTTTAAAATGTCTTAAACATATCTCTTCCTTTTCCTTTTATTTGTGCTTTATTGCAGATATGTTTGCTGCCCTGGGCTCCTTTGGAATTCAAGAAATAACCAAGTAATAAATAACATGATGATCCATGTCTTCTAGCTCTTGATTCAAAAAACCACACATTTGTCGACGCTGCCAAAGAGGCAGCAGGTTTCAGAACATTATGGCCGGATCGGAGTTAATAAAAAGCACAGAGGCTTGATGTGCAAGGCTTTGCAACATCGAGTCAATTGTGCATGCTATGTGCCACCGTGGATCACATCTGCAATAGATAGTTTACAGTAACCTTCATCAACCATCAGACATTGGGGTCTGTGACTCTCATCACCCTCTGCCCGGCCCAGATGTATGTGACTGGGGCTGAGTGGGGCATGGCTGTGTTGGCTGGGGCTGATGGTAGTTCAAAGAGCCTGGGGGGAACTTGGGTGGGCAAGGATTTCTTGAGAACAACCCCTCCTTGAAACCAATTAGGAATGCTGGTGGGGGAATGAATGACGTTAGCTCCAGCTTGGCACAATCTCAGGGCCCCTTAGTGGAACAAGGAGGCTCAGGGTCCCGCAGATTCAAATCTACCTCCAAACCACCCCTGGAACATCCTATTTCAGGAGGGCTGGCAGTAAATGGAGACTTGGGGAGCCTTCTATGGGCCTTTGCAGTGGGACTGTCTGCCCCATTCAGAGCAGCACTTGTGCCCCACTCAATTCCCCCCTCCAGGTTAAGGGTTGCATGCAGTTCTGCAAAACATGGTTTCAGCTGCTGCCTTCCATAGCCAACCCTAAGTGTTTATTCTCTATGAAATTCCTGTTTTCCTTCTCTTGTAGAACCCACTCTGGGAACTTTTTGATAGAAAAGCAGAATGTTGATGATGGCGTGTGATACGAGAATGATTCAGATCCCTTGCAAGAAAATAAATAAATCAGTCTGGCAGACAACTGTCCCAAATACCATATTTTTCGCTCTATAAGACGCACCAGACCACAAGACGCACCTAGTTTTTGGAGGAGGAAAACAAGAAAAAAAATATTCTGAATCTCAGAAGCCAGAACAGCAAGAGGGATCGCTGTGCAGTGAAAGCAGCAATCCCTCTTGCTGTTCTGGCTTCTGTGATAGCTGCGCAGCCTGCATTCGCTCCATAAGACGCACACACTTCCCCCCTTACTTTTTAGGAGGGAAAAAGTGAGCCTTATAGAGCAAAAAATACGGTATGTGCATTTGGGAAGGCTGAATATCTGAGGAAGTAAAGGAACAAAGTGATAGGAATTGCACTAGTCCTCATGCACATTAATTCCACTGCCCGCCTTTTTCATAATTTCTGAGCAGAAAAGGTTGTGCAGGTTTTGGAGCCCTCCCGAAACCTACATAACCTCTTTGATCAGAGCAGAACAAAAGCAAATAATGACTGCATGAGCCATGAACGGCCATGGCTATATCCGATTACCCTGTGAGAGTTGCCTCTGTCCCTGGGGACTGTCTGGCTGCTTGGTGGTTCGAGCTGAATGTGCGGCAAGCTGTTCTTGGGGGAGAAAAGGGTTTTCTGCCAATGATGCCTAAATTGCCCACAAGCCCCAAACAAATCTACCTGTAATAGCCTCAGAGAGGCTGACTGAGTCTGCTCCATCGCTAGCCTAATCGGCCCTTGGGGAGAGCCGGATAAACATATTCCGAGGCCATGAATGATTAACAAGGATTTTGCTTTATGTATCCTGGTCTAATGAGACAGCTGCTAATCCCGGCAAACGTGGTATCTCCTGGCAGGAGCTCCTGACCAGCCGCCTTACTTGCCACCTGGGCTCTCCCCACCCGCCTGCCCGCCACCTCCCTGTTCAGGGCATCAAAATCCATACTGAGGGAGGGGGAGCATTTTGCTTATTACTTGTTTTGTTTCATTTCATTTTGCTCAATTCCTTACCGACAATTATTCCGATTAAGACTGTCAACGTGCTTAAGAGAGCCGTTAATTGATTAATCACCCGCCTTTTCAACTGATGCATCCATTAACCAACCGATTAAACCGTGCAGCGGATTTGCATACAGGCGAAAGCCCCGCCGTTGAAAGGAGTGTTTAAAAGGTCTGAAACTCAAGAACAACAAAAACTGTTTCTGCTATTTGCTGCTGGACGCAGTTGCTGCACTTTTGCGCCGTCTGCGACGGCATTGGAACGAAAACAACCCTTTTTTTTGGGAAAAATAAATAAAAATAAGTAAGGAGGTCTCCTTAACTTCCAACCCGCGGATTAAAAATCCGCTGTCGCCAATTAGTCTGCCAATTAAACCAATTAAGTGTAGGGACATGCTGCTGGAAAAGGCCAAGCAGTCCACCTGGGTAACGCTAGATTTCCCCACCGATAGACCAATCCGCCATAACTTTGTCTAATCCTCTTTAGAAACCATCTGTGGCTTGCTCTGAGAGGGGAGACGGATGAGGTGGAAGAGTCCTGAAGGGACTGTGCTCATTCTGACTGTGGACAGGGGTGGGGAGGGCACATTTATGAGTTCTCCCCAACGTTAAAAAACAAAACAACAAAATTTGCAGCTTGAAAATTAGTACCACAGGGAGAAGGCTGAGCGAGGAACTGCCACGACTTGTTAGATTTCTTGTTTATTTGCAGGCAATTTTTTTAATGGGACGGAAAGTTCAGGAATGGTACCCCTGAAGTCTGAAAAACGGTATAGTCTACCTTACCACTTTGGGATGCTACCCATGAAGTTAACTGCACATCTAGAACATGTAGCTGAAACGGGGCATGAAACACTTCATTTGTCCTGTTAATTATTACACCAATGTTGCAGATTTCCTCCAAGAGCTCAAGGCAGTGAATATGGTTCTCCCACCCATTCACTTTCATCCTACCAACAGCCCTGTGAGGTAGGTCAGGGTGAGAGCATGAGATTGGCCCAAAGTCACCCAGCAAGTTCATGGTCATTTGGGGACTTGAACCTAAGGCTCTCAGGTCCTATTGTGACACTCAAACCACTGGAGAAGACAGCATGGAGTAGTGGTTGGAGTGTTGAACTGGACCCCAGGAGGTCAGATTTTGTGGTCCTGCTCAGCCACGAAGCTCAATAGGTGACCCAGTTAACCTACCTCACAGGGTTGTTGTGAGGAGAAAGCTGGGAGGGGAGAGTCACATATGCCACCTTGAGCTTCATGGAGGAAAAAAGGGGGATAGGAATATAAGAAAGCAAATAATAAATTTCACACTGGCTCAGTTCTGAACCAGCATTTTGAATTTAGAATAAAGGTTCCAGTGAGCTTCATGGCCGAGTAGGTTTCTGAACTGCTGCCTCACATGTTCTAGCCTGGCGCTTTCACTTCCTACGCCACACAGAATACCCACTGCCCAGCTGCTTCCTTGGTCCACCTCAATAGCCTAGTGTTATGATAAATGCATAATAATTCTCCCCATCCCCAGCAAATTCATTCTGCGTTTTGCAAACCTGTATCACAGTCTCCCTTGTCTTTGAAAAGCAAAACAAAATGCCCTTCCCCAACCTGAAGCTTTGGATTACAACTCCCATCAGCCTCAACCAGAATGCCCAATTGGCCAGGGACAATGGAAGCTGTAGTCTAAGGAAATGTGGAGGCCACTAGGTTGGCTAAGACTGGTCTAAACTTTAAAAAAATCAACAGAGAGAGTTGCTTATGTTACATGGAAGGATTTGTCAGAGCTGATCCCAGATGCCTAGTCCACCTTAAATTTTCCCCTAATCCCAGGAAACATCTTCTTGCTGATTTGCTAACAAAAATCTTGGCTACACCCATGCCATCAGCCCAGAAGCTTTTGGCATATTGTCAAGCAAGCTCTGTGTCATTTCTGCTGGGGAATAAAGCAGCCTTCTCTCTCCTCACCCACCACATCCCCCATCTCACAGAAGCCCCATGGGCCCATCAGTAGAGAGTTTCCCAGTGTAGCCTCTGCAAAACGGCCATACTTGTCTTGGACGGATGTCAAATGGGGAGCTTCTTCTTGGAAGAATTTGTATTTGCCCTTATTGCTGAGCACCCTGGCGTTGATAAGACTCAAAGACCATTGGAAACCAGAGACTATGGGTTGACCAATCTGCTCAGTGACCTGTTGCTGCAAACTGAACATGGCTATTTCAAAACAAGAGGTGAAGTCCAGCCTTCCTCATCTTTCAAACACCTGGCTGTGAACTACTTTCTCCTCTTTGTTCCTTGTCCCCTCAGGTTTACTTTCTACCCCCACCTCCTTTTTCTCTCACTTCTTTTGGACAACCCCCTCTTGCAACTCTTGGCCAACTTCAACATCTCAGGCTGGCCTTCCTTTCCTAAGACTCTAATTCTTCTGTTCGATAGGCAGTGCTATTTCTCTAGAAAAAGAGATGCCGGAGCTCACCATGAATGCCTCCCTTGTTCTCTTATAATAGCAATGGCGCCCACCTGAGAGGTGCTGGAAGTGAGTTTCAGCGAGTTCCGGCTGAAAAAAGCCCTGTCTATAGGCTTGGCCTGCCCATTTCGGAAGCTCAATCAACTACAACCTGGTAGCCTTCTTCTTACTCTGTGACATCAGGGCAGTTCAGCCAATCAAGGCTAGAGGCTTCAAAACCAACAAAAAATATCTCTATGTGTCTTACAATATAGTCTTTTAAAATAATAATAATAAAAATAGCTTATCATTATGAGCCAGACTGCCTGGGAAGCAAAAGGAAAGCCTGGAATCTGGATAATCTTCAGGATTTTTTGGAGATGGGAAACCACACTGTTCTGTTCACCCTTTGAAAGCCTGTTCTGCCACCAAACAGAAGGACATTGGAAATGGATGGTGTTTCTTTACTCTCCAATCACCCAGCTATTCCTTTATGGTGCAGATACTGCCATTGGCTGATTATTCCTGTGTGATGTCATTTCCTCTCCTTGCAGTACCAACAAGAACAGACATCATTTCCTCTGGGCCAACCCAACACCTTCCCTTATTCTGCAGCATTCCCCCCCCCATAACTTCTCACATTGTCATATGACATCACTTCCTCAATGCCTCACCTGTCAGTCTCACCACTTCCTTCTGAAGCTTAGAGGAGTGGTTCATCTCTATGATTTCTCGTCATGGACCTTGTTTGATCAATACTCCTTAAAAACAGTGCAGACAAGTCACACAGTAGAAAATGGGCTGGGTAGGGACATGGACAGACAATTTGCTCAGAACTTAAAAATAAAATGAAAAAATCCACACACACGCCAATAACCCCAAAATAAACCTACCAAGACCAAACAAGAGAATTTCTATAGCGGATGCCCTCTGTTCCTTAGTCCTTTGCAAATAAGTGCAACCTCAGTGGGACACATTTCTTTTTTTGCCACCCCTTTGTGACATCTCCTTTTGTGCCTCTTTCACTTTAGAGCACAGCTCTGATGCTCTCGTGCTTTGTTTGAACCAGACGTAGAAAGGAAAACAAGGGGGAACAAAGTACCAGCGAACAAAAGGAGGGGAAAGCGCAAAGAGAGGAGATGAAACAAGTGATTCCAGCAAGACAGCTTTCCTTTGGGACACACTTCTTTGAGCACGGCGAAAGAAGCATCGGGGATCCCCCGCCAGCTTGGTTCTGCCCTGAGAGGAAAGGGTGGGAGGTGGGAGATCTGTCAAGTGACAGCGAGGCAGGGGGAAAATAACGGTGTGCGACTTGCTTACACTTCCCTCCCACAACGCGGGCGCTTTGAGCAAACAGGGGCTGCCTTTCCGGCAAGGGGTTCCTACCTGTCACGTTAACTTCCACCTGGCCAGACCGCGTCCCAATGGTGTTGGTGGCCTCACAGACGTACGTCCCTGCCAGGCTGTAGGTGACGGGCCCCTTGAAGAACAACGTGCTGTTCTGAACCTCCACGTTGTCGGGAAGAGATCCGTTCAGTCTGTCGCAAAAGGAAGGCCAAACGGTTAGGGAGAAAGTTCTTTCCTGTAGCCAGTGAATCCTGGCTAATTCCCTGGAGCTATTATAGGACTATCCAAGCCCATCTGTCTGAGCCCACCTAGTAGAGGTTCAAGTCCATCTGTTCTACAACCCAATTTTCTTGCCAAAACCTTCATTGCCTACTACCTTCCAAATCCAACACCTTCTCTGCTTTAGGGTATGTAAAACTGCCCTTATACAATAAGGCCCACTGCATGGAGTGAGTGAGTTTGTGTTCACTGACTGCCCCTCACGTGTGTGTGTGTGTGGGGGGGACAATACCTGAAAAGGGCTTAGATGTAATGGCAGCAGGTTGTGGTCAGTGTAGTGGAATGACAACCAAGTAGCTGCAGGGTTTGAGCCACAAAGCTCAGAGAATGACCTTGGGTTAGCCATCCTTTCTTGGCCTAGTCTATCTACCAGGGTTGTTGTGAGGATAACCTTGGTGGCAGGGAACTATCTATATCACCATGAGTTCCTTGAAGGGCGGGATAAAAATGAAAGATGAATTTACAATTGTGCCTCCACCCCTCCCTCCCCATCTTCAAACAGGGTTTTGATTTTGGGAGCAATAGGGGCATGGGGTAAGATCTGCAGAACTTGGAACCCTGGAGACAACACTGAGTTAGATGGACTAATAATAATAATAATAATAATAATAATAATAATAATAATATCCCGCCCATCAGACAATGTTCTGACTCTCAATAAGGTTTCCTGTGCTGAAAGAGAGAGAGAGAGAGAGAGAGAGAGAGAGAGAGAGAGAGAGAGAGGTCTTTCCCAGTTTGGCCACCTACAATCCTGTCAAATGAAGCTTTGAGTCAGGAGACAATTTATGTCAAGGCACCGTGGATCATTTTATAGGACAGATTTACCATCTGCCTGTTTTTTTCTTCTTTGTACTTTTACAATAGTTTTAAGAAATTATTGTGATGATTTATTCGTTTAACTGGAGGTGCTGGGGATCAAATCCGGGACATTCTTTGTGTTAAAAAAAGATGCTGTGTCACTAAATATTCCACCCGATGCCTTTTCCCAAGCCATGGACATCTCAGAAGAGAGCTGGGTGGTGTGTTTGGAGGAGGGGATCTCAGGGAAATAGCTTGAATTCTGCAAAGTATGCAACATCAATAAATTATGCAGATTATAACAGTGCTCATTGCATAATTTATTCTGCTTTTGCTAGACTGGGTTTTAGAGCTAAGTTGGTGCTAAAGCCCCACCAGTTGGAAACTGATGCCTTGTCCCGTCAGTGGGAAATGCTGGCCACACTCTTTTAGATCTACCTCCAAAGTTTCCAGGGGCTGGAAACTTGGATTTATTTAAAAACAAAAACAAAAACTGAGATGCTGAATTTGGCAACTGGTGGCAATTTCTTAACCCTGTAGCAAAATTTGCCTGACTTCCATGCTAGCAAAATCAGTCTTATCTCTACCCTGATGGGTTTCCCCCCAACCTATCAAGCAATAAAACATGGCAACTCAGAGCAAGGCTTTTAGTTCCTTTGCTCCTGTTCTGTGGAACGGCATCCCTGTCGACATACGACAGACGGCCACTCTCTGCATTTTCCAGAAACAACTGAAGGCATTTTTGTTCTGATGGGTTTTCTCAGCTGGGTGAATGGGTCTTTGCCAAGGGTGTCCATTTTGTATTGTTTTAAAATTTATCTGCTATTGCTTTCTATGTTGTTTTTAATTGTTTTTATTGCACATGGTTTGAGAGAAGGTGACTGAATTGTTGTTGTTGTTGTTCTTGTTGTTTCCCCACAATGTTATCCTGGAATCAAATGCCAGCAACTCATTGATGAATTAATCCCAAACTGTTTTGGAAAGTCGTGGAACAAACAAACATAACCATAACTGCATGTATACATGCAGGGAAAGAATAATGCAGCTTGCTCATTTTTAATTACCGGTACAAGGTGAAGCAATTACTTTAGCTAAAGTAATTGGATCACCCAAAAGCTCAGTGGCATGTTTTGCGTGTATAAGGACCCAGGTTCAGCCCCAGAAAAATCCCAGGTAGCTGATGGTGGCAAACACCTCTCTCTGCCCAAGACCTGCAAGAACCACTGCCAGTCAGAGTAGGCAGCCTTGGACCGATGGAGCAATTTAGTAGAATGCAAATTCCTATTGACAATACAGGAAATTCTCCTATCCTCGCCTTCCCCTCCGAAGCTCTAACAACAATCCGCAAGTAGTATATAAACAGGAAAGGTTAGAATTTTGTCTATGACTACGTTAGCATGCATAAAAGCAAAGCTCTATATAGTTAAAGACCCAGAGATGACAGAGGCGTTTATAACCCAAGCCAAGCCATGACAGCCTTATCCATCAAGTGTGTTGTGCAACTCTTGAAAGATGAGGGCGCACTTCTGTGCAGAGCGAAAGGGAAGATCAGAGTCAAATTCTGAATGGCTAAAGGGCAGAAGATGCCCAGCATCAGTCGTGCAAAGAAGCCCACAAGTTACTAGTCCATAGGAAATGTGATGGCCTGCTCACCTATTCCTACCTACGTTAGGCAATGGGACCCTGAAAGAAAAAAAGGAACACTTTGGTAAAGCTTTGATTATTATTACTCTACAAATGAGAAAAGAGGGAGTTAGCCCACCCCACCCCTATTTTGGCCACAAAACCTTTCCCCTACCCCCATGACTTATACTTTCTACCATTTGGCTGCCAGTTTTAACATCTCCATATTGGGATAGTACCCATGCTGGCTTATAAATGAATTTGTAGCCAAGCAATGCACCATCTTCCATGAGCAGAATGTTCTCAGGTTCACCCCTTGAAGATGCCTCACAGCTATTCACACTTGTGGGACATTCACCCCTCCCCGTTTCCCATCACACCTATATTTTCCCCGCTTTCTAAGCCTGTCTCACAGTCCTTCACCCTCCCTGCCCCCAACTCTAATATATTTAATCTCTCTTTCTCTCACTTCTCTTCCTGCGCTGGAGCCACCTCTCATCCATCACTTAATATTCAGAACTACCGTATTTTTCGCTCTATAGCAGTGTTCCCCAACCTTGGGCCTCCAGCTGTTTTTGGACTACAATTCCCATCATCCTTGACCACTGGTCTTGCTAGCGAGGGATGATGGGAGTTGTAGTCCAAAAACAGCTGGAGGCCCAAGGTTGGGGAACACTGCTCTATAGGACTAACTTTTTCCCTTCCAAAAAGTAAGGGAAAATGTGTGTGCATCTTATGGAGCGAATGAAGGCTGCGCGGCTAAGCCCAAAGCCAGAACAGGGAGACGGAGCGCTGTGCAGCGCTCTGTCTCGCCGTTCTAGCTTGGGGTAAGCGGCGCAAAGCCTCCGCCGGGCAGCGGGGTGAAGGCACCCCGCTGCCCTGTGGAGGCTTCACAGGCTGTCCCTGAAGCCAGAACAGCAAGAGGCTATCCCAGAAGCCAGATCCCTCTTGCTGTTCTGGCTTCTGGGGTTCAGAATTTTTTTCTTCTTGTTTCCTCCCCCCCCAAACTAGGTGCGTCTTATCGTCCGGTGCGTCCTATAGAGCGAAAAATACAGTATTTTACATTAGTTCATGCACTGGCTACTTTGAGCTTTGACTACTGCCATGCGCTTTTTTGGGGACTTCCCCTGTGCTTGACTGGGGAATTGCAGTTAGCGCAGAAAGCGAGACGCTGCCTGCATTTATAACAGCTTTGCTCAGGGGTCTACACCGATTGCCATACTATCAGGATTTTCTTTGTCTCATTTTAGCAATTTCTCTCTCACTCTCTCTCATTCTAACTGCATTGATCCTTCTCTCTTCCCAGTGGCTTTGGTCCATGCCTTGATCTTTTATTTTATTCAGCAAAAAAAAAGAAAAAAGAACTCTGAAAGAGGTTGAATCCATTCCACTGAAAAAATGGAACCTGGAAGGGGAAGAACTAGCAGCATTGCTTATTAGTCAAGGCAATGGTTCCTCTAGGCTCTGTCGATCAAAAATGCTTTTTAAGGGAGCCCATAAGACCAGGATGAACACAGGGATAAGTGATGAACCCTTTCCTGAGCAAAGAGAAACACATGCCAATTGGGTGGGTGAGTGGAAAGCAGCTTCTTCTGCACTCCAGCACAGCTGTACTTAACACACAGGTGGAAAGTATTTGCAAGTCTGGGCCAAAACTCACCCCATCAAAATGACAACAATAACACAGGCTGCAGGAGGCAGTCTAGTTTTTTGGGGGAGTGGAGGAGAACCCCATTGGTTGGTGGTCACTGTCTTTTCCCCTTCAAATACCCCTTGGGTATTGAGTCTATTCTATTATTCTATTCTATTCTATTATTCTATTATATTCTATTATGGTCTTAACTTTAACAAAATTATGGTTGTAATTTTTTTAGCAACGATTTTACTGTTTCATCTTTTTTGTAAACCACTTTGAGTTTTTCCCCTACAATCAACTGGTATATAAATCCTATGAAATAACTAAAAAATACCCTAAATAAATTTGTGGTAGGGGCCAAGAGGGAAACGGCAGCTGAATGTCAATCTGAGCTTTTAAGAGAGTTCCTTTGCAACAGATGGTGGCCAACCTATGCCTAGGCTAGTAGGGGTCAGCAGGCTATTTTTTTTACTAGAACCCCCAAGGTCCACCAATTGGAGTTAGGTGTAAAACAATGGCTCAAGCAGGTGGACACAGGCTGTGAGTTGTCTCTGGTGCAGATGCACAGTCCAGAAATGCATGATCAGTACCAGTCCTTCCAAACCAAAAATCCACTCCTGGTTTTCCTCTGACTGTTGTTTTCAGCTGCCTCACTGAGGGTGGTGGAAATGGTTTTTAGCCAACTGGAAAACAGTGGGTCAGGAAATCCTTGCTAATCTACTGCAAGTCAGTAGATCTCTACTACCAGTTGATCTTGATCTGCCTTCTGACCCAGCCCTAGACTGTACCCACTTCCGACTGCAGTGGGAGGTCATATGACTGCATTTAAACAAGAAGCAAACAAGCAAAAAAAGAACCCCTGCACATGGAAATTTGGTATGTCAGGGAGAAGGCTAGGCCGTAGCCCTTCTCCTCTGGCATGCTAGCTTTTTATATATGGTGGATTTTCCTTTTTTTTTTTTTTTAATGGAGGAGCCAGAGGAGTCCTGCAAGCTGCAGGTAGAATCTGTACAGTCCAGACACAGGATTACCTCCTCCTCTGCTGTTTGTGAGAACTAGGCCATCTACTCGCCTGCCTGGCTCCATCTGGGTCATCCCAGGTGATCAGGCTTGTGAGTCACCCGGCTGCTGATCAAATCTGCCTTGCCTATAACACACACACACACACACACACACACACACACACACACACACACACAGCAGCCTTTTCCTCTCCACATATGCCCAGTCAGGGATGCTCATCTAGGTGGAAACTGACCTCCTCAGCAGAGCCTTCATTACAGAACAAAAGATGAAGGAGCATTACATAAAGAGGAGAGTGCCGGGGGAGCCAGGGGCACCTGAGGATGTCACATGGACAGGCTTGTGGGATGTACCATATTACTAGAACTTTGGGGGACACCAACCAAACCCAGCTGCATAACAGCGTCTGAGAGCAGACGCAGTGACTGGGGTGGGGTGACTTGCTTCTGCAAGCACACATCTGCATCAGAGCTACTGAAACAGAGATTCTCACAATCTTTTTTGGGGGGGTGTGTGTGCTCTGTTGTCTCTCATTGCTATTGTTAAGTGATTTTGAGTCAGGAATGTGTGTCAATCTGCAACAAATAATCCAGTGGTTGAATGGTAGGTCCTGATCTACTTTCTGTCCACTCATATGGCATATATGCAGTTGCTGCTTGAAATGTGGTGTCTTCAGGTGGGTTTTCCTGTGGCCACAAGGGTTTAATGTCATTTTTGTTGTTATTTTGGAAGGGGTGACTTAGCACAGGTCAAATCATCATGGCCCGTTACAGCCACGCCTGGATTTCTCTGAGGCATTTGGGCTGCTTTAATTCAGACTGGTCATGGGGACTGACATGACGGGATATGAATGAATGAATGATTGAATGAAATGAAATGCTTGCAAGGAGTAAAGCAGCACATCAGGGAGAAGGCTAAGCTAGACTGCCACCTCCTTGATATGCTAGCTTTCTATGTGCAAGGCACTCAGGGGGGTATTGTCAGCATGGGGACTCACATGAAGGAATATAAATGAATGAATGAATTAAAAAAAAAATGCTTACACAAAGTAAAGCAGCACTTCAGGGAGAAGGCTATGCTAATTTGCCTTTTTCTTGATATGACAGCTTTCTACATGTCAGGCATTTGGCCAGTATAGGAGACATATACGTCACACACAAAACACATTCTTGTAATCTGAAAAACCTGGAGTGGTACTGCCTAGTTCCACATTGACCATCCCACCAGTTCTGTAGGATTTGGGAGCAAAGGTGTGACGCTCTCAGCAGAAAGAAGTCTCCCTCCTGCCCAATCGAGGATCACTCTGCATTTGGAGTTAGAGGGAAGTCAAGTCAAAGGGACCCTACTTACAGCTTCCACTGGTATGAGGTGGCAGGAGGGTTGGCATCAGAGATACATGTCAGCTTCACATCTTTCCGGTTGAGGTACCAGTTGCCATCAAAGCCATCGATCCTCACTTCGGGCTCGTCTGTGAGGAAAGGAACAGGAACAACAGCAGAATGGGAGGGAGTTGTGAAGGGCAGGCAGGTGAGAGAGGAGAGGAAGGGAGAGTGGAAGAGAAGAAAGAAGAGAGGGATGAAAAGAGAGGTACAAAGATGTGGACGAGGGAGGGGAACAAAAGGCCATTAATATTCACTCTGGCTCACCTTTGTCTCATAGCTCAGCTCTGGGGCATGCTGCAGATCTAGTGCGGTGCAGTGGTTAAGGTGTTGGACTAGGATTTGGGAGACTAGGGTTCAAATCTCCCCTTGGCCCTGACCTAGGGCCAGTCACTGCCTCTCAGCCTAGCCTACCCCACAGGGTTGTTGTAGGGATTAAATGAAAGAGGGGGAGAACTCCTTGGGAGATATGGTTGGCCATGAATACAATAAACAAATAAGATTTGGACTTTTCTTTGCATTATAGATGGTAACCCGGGGTGGGAGAAAAGCCCTCTCCACATGTTCAGGGGTACTGTTACACCTTCACTCGTTCATTCTCACAGAGGAACCCTGACTTTTAAAAAGAAAATGCCCTACAGCTGCTCCCCCACACCCAAATCCACCCCTGTTCTGCCCAGGGAAAGTCGAAAGTCTCAGGGGCCACAAGCCTCTTCAAGATACCAGCTCCGCTGCTGAAGAACGAACAAGAGCATCTCAGATTTATAGAGCTGGAAGGGACCGCGAGAGTCATCTAGTCCAACCCTCTGCAATGCAGGAACCTCTCGCCCCGGCCGGCCTCCCTGCCTCTCTCACTTACACAGCACGTTGAGGGTCATGCTGTCAGTGAAGCGATCCAGCTGGTAGTTGACCACGCATGTCAGTTGCTGCCGATGGGCCTCCCGGCTGGGCAAGAGGCGGTACTGGCTGACCACGGTGAAGGTGCCGTTGGGGTTGCGGATCTCTTGGTATTCCGCCACCCCTTTCAGCTTGGTTTCCCAGGACACGGTGCTGGGGGGCTTCCCGTTGGAGGAGGTGCAGGTGGCGACCACAATCTTCTCCGTCATGCCGGCCTTGGCAATGAGCAAGCTCGTGGTGGCCTGCATCCGGTTTGTCGGTTTGGCTGAGGAGAAGGCAGGAGGCGAGAAGGTTAGACAAGAGGGGAGAGTCTTTGAGGTTACTAGCGCGTGCTGTGAGCTGTTTGGTCAGCCCTTGGGGTTAATCTCCTGCTGAGACGTGCAAGGGGTTTGAAATCAAAGTGGCTTCGCTGATTCATCAGAATACACTAGCTTCCCTGGCCTTCTGCAAAACACAAACACCAAACACCATTCTGTGGACACTGAACACAAGCGTTGTGCTCTATTGCAGTGTCAATATTTATCAGAATTCCATCTTTCGCAAGAATGTAAGAAGAGACTGCTGGATCAGGCCAATGGGCTGTCTAGTTTGGCATCCTGATTTCACAGTGGCCTGCAGGAAACTCTCATGCAGAACCCAAACATAAGAGCCCTCTGACTTCCTGCAGTTTCCACCAACTGCTATTCAGAAGTGTTACTGCAGAGTATATCCATCGTGGCTTGTAGCCAGCTGATGGCCATTCCTACTATGGGAGTGAGTTCCATAGTTTAACCATGTCCTGCACAAAAACATCCTTTCTTTTATCTGCCCTGAATCTTCCAATGCTCAGTTTTATGGGATGTCCCATGAATTCTAGAGTTAAGAGACAGGGAGAAAAATCTTTATTTGTCCACTTTCCCCATGCCATGCACAATTTTGCCAACTTTTATTGTCTCACCTGTTGCTTCACTAAAAAAAAAAAAAAGCAAGTTTCTAGTCCCTTATAGGTTTGAACACAAATGCAGCAATGTGAAAATATTTTAATGAAAGATCTCCAGTGTGCTGGAAACATTCCAAAATGGAGGCGTTTGGGAGCGGAGGTTTGACTGTATACTCCCATACATTATTACATGAATATTTTTGATGTTATTATCCTAATACATATGTAGATATTAATAGCCTACTACATTCTGTAGAAACTCATCCTAAATGTTATCATATTTAGCCAAACAAAGTCTATGCCTTCCTAAGCTTCGTGCTGGACTGTATAAGTATGGCTGTACTGAAAATGCTAAAACTTTCAGCGGAGAATATTCTTCTGAACTATATGCCTATTGTATGGAAGTTAACAACAGGATAACAAAAATGGATTCTAATGGTGGCCAAGAGAATGATACGGATGAATGCGAAGAATAAAGATATCTTATCTCCTTTAATCAGTAAATTGGTAATATGACAACTACCCATTGCACCTTCAGCCATGCATAAGACCAGGCATAGTCAAACTCCAGCCCTCCAGAAGTTTGGGACTGCAATTCCCATAATCCCTAGCTAACAGGACCAGTGGTCAGGGATGATGGGAATTGTAGTCCCAAACATCTGGAGGGCCAGAGTTTGCCTATGCCTGCATAAGACGTTTGGAGCTTTGATAATGGAAACTTCTTGCTCTGAATGAAATGCACAGAAGCAGGAGGGGAGAGAGAAAGACTCAGTGGCAAGGCTTGAATCCCGAGCCACATCCTCTCCAAAAAAACCTCAGACACAAAGGAAGCCGAAGCCGATGCTTCCCAACTTCCTTCTGAAATCCATTTTGGGACATCAAAGGGAAAGGCTCCCAAAGGAGCATCATTTTCAAAGCTTTGCCACACCCTTGGGAAACAGGTCACTACAACCAATCCTTATCCAAGATAATACAGTGGAATAAGCGAGACAGCAACCTGTCTACGCCAAGGATGCAACTCTAAAATGCATCCTTTACACACTGATGGCATCGTCATTATCATCACACAGGCAATCATCACCAGGAAGGAGAACACAGAATGGAATCCCACAGGACATTTGGTATCTGGGCACAGAACCACTCCCCCCCCCCATGCCCTGCATCAGTCCAGAATCTAATAGTTTGTTCTTGCTGCTTCAAGGATGCTGTTCCAGTGGAAGGGGACTGAAGGCAGTTTGCAACAGAGGGAGAGAGAAATGTTCAAGGAAGCTGCAGGGGGGCTTGCCATGTATCACTCGCTGCTGTGGGTACAAGGTTAGGAGATTTCATTTCAAGCTGATGCATGGGACTGTCCCAATGGAATGGGTCCTCGGGGAAATGCAAGAGGGAGAGCATGCCTTAGCTTCTGAGCATAGGCTTGCTGGTGCGGATGAGGAAAAATTAACTCATCAGCACAGGAATGAGCAACCTGTGCCCCGCCCCAGGTGATTTTGTACTTCAGCTCCTATCAGCACCAAGCCCACATGACAATGGTCAGGGATGATGGGAGGTGTAGTCTAACTGGAGGACCAAAGAGTCTTCACTTTTGCTTTAAACTGAGAACAAAGCAGGACTCTGGGTAAATGCAGAATATGATACTCAGAATCTTCTATGATAAAGGCTGAGCCAAAGTTTTGAAGATCAACAGTTTTCATGCAAAAAAGCAACATTTTCAAAGGTCCCCAAACTAGGTCCTGCAAAACTAGCCTTTTTCATATAATTTCTCAATTTATTCCTGTGATGGGATGATGAGCTGCTTGTGCGTAAAATCGTATCCCCTCAGAGTTTGTTCAAGTCCACAAACCTCTGTCTGTGACGGAGCCCCTCAGACATGGCTACTCTAGTCACTAGCAGTTTCCGACAGTGGTTGCTTTCGTAATCGCTTCCAACATAAAAGCTCCTTAACGGAAACACGTCTTCTGGAATCTCTGCGTGACAGTTTCCGGCGAGGAGTGGGTGTTCTTACAGGAGGTCCTGAAACCTCTCCACTGTTTTCGCTGGAAGTGTCTCTGAGCCATCCCTCCAGCTCAGCTCCTCTCCCCTTCTGGTTCCCTCATCAGCTGCTGCGTCTCTCCCAACCTGTGTGAGCCCTTTCACCTCCCTGTTGGTTTCCTCTTCAGCTGCTGCGTCTCTCCCAACCTGTGTGAGCCCTTTCACCTCCCTTCCGTCCGATGGCAGTTCCCTGACATCCACCTCCCCTCCAGGGCCCCCTTCACCCCCTCTCGCCCCCTCCTCTACGGGCGGTGAGGAGGCAAAACCCGGAATGAACTTCCTTCATCTTCCGATGTCTCGAACACTTCTCTCAACCTGTTGCGGTTCCTGGTCTCGAAGTACACCTCCTCCTCAGAGTCCATCTCCCCTCCCCTTCCGAGTCCGGGAATCCTTCCAACTCCTCCCCTTCATCAGTGGTCCCAAAGTATTCCCTCCGGAACCTCTCCACAGGCTGAGGTTTCCTTGGGAACCTTTGATGGAACGTTTCTATCAATACCTCGTCATTGATATCTTCAGCCATTACCCAAGTGTTTTCTGACTCCGGTTCTCCTTCCCACGCTACCAAATACTCCACCTGATCCCCCTTCCACCTGGCGTCGAGGATTTCTGCCACATGGCTGCTGCATTCTCTTTCTTCTACGACCGGTCCCCGAGTGGCCAGCCCTTCTCGTCCCCCTTCGTACGGTGACAGTAACGACCTGTGAAATACTGGGTGCAGTTTCATGTGGTTGGGTAACCGGAGCCTGAAAGCCACTGGGTTGACCTGTTGAATGACCTCAAAGGGACCCAACCTCCTGGGTCTTAATTTCTTACAACCTCCTTTGAACGGCAACCCTTGGGTTGACAGCCACACCCTATCTCCCACCCTTATGGTTTCACCTTCCCTTCGGTTCTTGTCTGCCTGCCTCTTGTATTCTTCCTTCGCCCTTTCTAAGTTGAGTTGGAGCTGACGATGGATTGCTTCCATTTCTTCCACAAAATGTCGGCTGCCGGGACGCTCCATCTCTCCCCCTCCCCTGGGAAAGCCCTGGGATGACACCCATAATTAGCCAAGAGGGGCTCATCCCTGTGGACACATTCTCGGCATTGTTGTAGGCAAATTCCGCCAGCGCCAACTTTTCTACCCAGTCATTCTCTCTGTCATTGACATAACACCTCAGGTATTGCTGGAGGACACCGTTTGCTCTTTCCGCCTGCCCGTTGGTTTCAGGGTGCCGGGCAGTCGAAAAATTGACCTCCACCTGCAGTAAGCTCATGAGCTTCCTCCAGAACCTGGAAGTAAATTGTTTTCCTCGGTCTGAGACCACCCTCAATGGCACCCCGTGCAACCTAAAAATGTTTTCTACAAATAACTTCGCTGTCTCTTCCGCCGTGACTGCATGCGAGCAAGCTACAAAGTGGCACATCTTTGTTAGTAGGTCTACCACCACCATGATGGCTGTTTTCCCTTTGGACTTCGGCAGATCAGTCATAAAATCTATCGACACTGCCTCCCAAGGTCGTTCTGGGGTTGGTAAGGGTTCTAACAGCCCCGCCGGCGCCCGCCTTTCCCCTTTGGCTCGCTGGCATTGCTCGCACCCTCTTACATACTCACGTACATCTTCCCTCACCTTAGGCCACCAAAATTCCCTGGTGACCAACCACATGGTTTTGTGTTGTCCAAAATGCCCCGCCGTAGGGCTGTCGTGCAACTGCTTGAGTACCCTCCCCTTAACTCTCCTTCAGGGATATACAGTGCCCCTTTGTAATACAAAGCTCCATTTCTTTCCTCGAAACCCCTGGTTCCTCTCCATCACCCCTAAGACCTCTGAGCTTATTCTGGGCGTATTCATCATTCTCTGTTTCCTCTACCAGTTCTCTTTGTCCCACCAATGCCGCCCCACACACCCAGCGGTCTTCTGGAATGACATGTCTCTCTTCGGGTGCCCCTCCCTCCAAATATTCAGGTTTGCGTGAGAGAGCGTCTGCCCTAATGTTCTCTGGGCCTGGCACGTAACTAATCTCAAAGTTAAATTTGGAGAACTCCTGGGCCCATCTCACTTGCCGTTGGTTGAGCACTCGTGCCGTCCTCCAATACTCTAGGTTCTTGTGGTCAGTGCACACTTGCACCTTATGTTGTGCGCCAATTAGCAGGTGCCTCCATCTCCGGAACGCCTCATGAATGGCTAGTAGTTCTCGGTCATACACCGTGTAGTTCCTCTCGGATTTGTTCAGCTTTGCGAAAAAAGGCACACGGTCTCCACTCTGACCCCTTCTTGCCTGGCTGCAGAAGCACCGCCCCAATCGCTCTGTCTGATGCGTCAGTTTCCACTCTCATCGGTTTTTGTAAATCCACAAGGGAGTTGTTGTTCCGAGGCGAAGGCCCTTTTTAGTTCCTCAAATGCTCGCTCCGCCTCCTCAGTCCACACGAACTTCTTCTTACTGCTGAGACAGTCCGTAATGGGCGCCGTCAGGTGGGCAAAGTTTCGGATGAACTTACGATAGAAGTTCCCAAATCCTAGGAACCTCTGCACATCCTTCTTTGTTTTGGGTGCTTTCCATTCCAGCACAGCCTGGACCTTGCCGGGATCCATGGCCAATCCCTTGTCTGACAGGCGATACCCCAGGAATTCCACCTCCTTGGTATGAAACTGACACTTCTCCAGTTTCACCCACAGCTGGTTGGCTTGCAGCCTGCTCAACACTTCTCTGACGTCTCTCACATGCTGCTCCTCATTCTCAGAATACACCAACACGTCGTCTCACAAGGCCACACAATTCTTGTAAAGCAAAGGCCCCAGGACGTGGTTCATAAACGATTGAAATGTTGCGGAGCCTGCTTGTAGGCCGAAGGGCATAACCAAATATTCAAATGCCCCTAAAGGGGTGAACATGGTGGTTTTCCAGTCATCCCCTTCCTTATTCGTACCAGGTTGTACGCCCCCCTTAGGTCCAGCTTTGTGAAAATCTTTCCCTTCCGCACCCTTGTCAAAATGTCGTCAATCCTGGGCATAGGGAAGGCTACTGGTTCTGACACTGCATTTAAGGCCCTGAAGTCACACACCAGCCTCGGCTTGTTCGTGTTTTTCTTATCCACAAAAACACTGGGCTGCCCCCCACCGCCCCGGACTCTCTGATGAACCCTCTCTTCAGGTTCTTGTCAATGAACTCTCTTAACTCCTGCATCTCTCTGTCTGACATGGCGTACAGCTTGCCTACAGGGAGCTGTGCTCCAGGGAGTAAGTTGATTTGACAGTCAAAGGGTCTATGCGGGGGTAGTTGGTCAGCTTCCCTTTCGCTGAAGACGTCACGGAGATCTGCATATTGTCGTGGTACCTTCACGTTCTCTGTTACTTCAGTCCCTGCTAGGGTGGCTTGGACCCCTGCCAAACCCTTTCCCTCTTTGCAGTGTTCTAAGCAATGTGCTGAACCAAAAGAAACCACTCTCTGATGCCAGCCCACCAGCGGATCATGTAACGCTAGCCAGCTCATCCCCAATATAATGGGAGCTCCTCCCAAGGTGGCCACATTAAAAGCTATCAGTTCGGTGTGCCTTGCTACCTTCATTATCATTGGGACGGTCTGCAAGCTGACTTCTCCACCCAACAGCTCCCTGCCATCGATCGTGGTCACCTGCAGGGGCTGCTTAAAGGGATTGTCTGTATCTGGTGTTCAGCTGCAAACTCTTTGCTCATGAAATTGCAGGAGCTGCCTGAGTCCAACAGCGCCTTTATCTTTAGAGGGTGTCCGTTTGGCAGCTCTAGCGTCACTTCTATCACTAGGGCGGGTTTAGGAGGTTCTGGCGTGGGCACTCTCACTGCTCTTTGGCCTGGCTGCTGTGCTCTGACAGTGGCAGCCAGGCGTTGGCTGTTACGTGCGCCGGTATATTTTCCTCTCTGCCCTCCACAGCCCCTACCATCCCTTGCCATTCTTTCCTCTGAGGGCAGACTCTGGCAAAGTGACCTGGCTGTTGGCAGAGATAGCATTTCCGGGCGCCTTTTCCCTCCTTCTTTGCCCCCTCACTGGGCTTTGAAACTGCGTGCGCGCGCGCTGTTCCGATTTCCATCGGCTCTGCCGGTGGGAAAGTTGGCTCTGGAATGTCTGGAATGCGGAACTCCTTCCAACGTTCCCTTTCCCTTCCCGCCTCTCCAATGCTCTCGCCTCCTGGCGCGCTCCTATGGCCAGCGCTGATTTGGTCAGCTGGTCCATAGACTCCGCCCTGGGCGCCCGGAAAGTTCGTCTTTCACAGCCGAAGAAAGCCCTTCTTCAAAGAGCATTTGAATGGGTTCCGCCGATAAGTCCCACCCCAATCTGTGAACAAGCATGGTGAACTCAGTCCAGTACTCACGGACAGATCGGCTCCCCTGTTTGCAACCCATTAACTGTCTGCGCACCACTCCCTTTTCAATATCGCTGGAAAACATCAGATCCATGGCGCGAAAGAACTTCATCGTGTCTTTTAAGACGTCACTATTCGCTGCCATCAGGGGTCTAACCCAGTCTCTCGCCCCTTTTCAAGATGCTCAATCACGAAAGCCACTCGTGATTCCTCGTCAGGGAATTCATCAAACTGCAGATTGAGGGCATATTGCATTTCTGTCCGAAAACCATGATAGTTTTGGGCTCCCCCAAACTTCTGCACCAATCCTGGTACCTTTCTGGCGAACTGGGTGGCTTTTCCCCTTTTGTCTGCATCCTGAGCCCTCCTCTCCTCAAGCCTCGCCGTCTGCATCGCTAGCTGGACCTCCAACATCTGGTACCTTTCTTCCAGGCTTGGACCCGCTCCAGCTCCTGCTTCTCCGGTTCCGGCTGGGTTGCTCATGATACCTTCTCCTGCACAAGCTGCTTTCAAAGACTGTCGGAATGCTGTGATGGGATGATGAGCTGCTTGTGCGTAAAATCGTATCCCCTCAGAGTTTGTTCAAGTCCACAAACCTCTGTCTGTGACAGAGCCCCTCAGACATGGCTACTCTAGTCACTAGCAGTTTCCGACAGTGGTTGCTTTCGTAATCGCTTCCAACATAAAAGCTCCTTAACGGAAACACGTCTTCTGGAATCTCTGCGTGACAGTTTCCGGCGAGGAGTGGGTGTTCTTACAGGAGGTCCTGAAACCTCTCCACTGTTTTCGCTGGAAGTGTCTCTGAGCCATCCCTCCAGCTCAGCTCCTCTCCCCCTGCTGGTTCCCTCATCAGCTGCTGCGTCTCTCCCAACCTGTGTGAGCCCTTTCACCTCCCTGTTGGTTTCCTCTTCAGCTGCTGCGTCTCTCCCAACCTGTGTGAGCCCTTTCACCTCCCTTCCGTCCGATGGCAGTTCCCTGACAATTCCCTATATTCTACAGGTGCTGTTTCAGTAGAACTTTTTGTCTATCATCTGTCTATCTATCTATCATCTATCTATATATATATCATCTATCTATCTATCTCTATCCAAAAGGAGTTTTCTTCTTGCTAAATACACAATTCAACCAATAAGGGATGATATAGGCAGTGCGGTAAAATCACGGCACTACCTAACCAATCAGATGTGGCTATGGGATGACAATATGAAGCCACATCAGAGGGAGAGATAAATAGCTCTTGCCCTTACTCCGAATTGGAGAATGGTTCTGCTCCATTTTGAAGGACCTCCAAGTTCTCTCCAAAAATAAGGTGAGGGCAAATGTTGTAAAATTTGCCTTCTCATTTTACCTTAGCAGACTAGGGAAGAGAACAAGCATTTCCTAAGGACTTGGGCTGGGATTCTGCAGAGAGTGGGGTATGGAAGTTCTGCACCCAGGTGATCAAGGGTAGTCCTTGCCGCTGCTTCCTCTGCTGTCACTCAGCAATGGCGGCCGGATGACGACCGTAACCCCACCACCCCATGAAGGGAAGGAGAGGAGAGGTGGGAGAAATAGACTAGGCTTTCCCTCTCAAGCTCACTAGGGAGCCTGGCTCCCAAACCTCTGCTCCTACTCAAGCCATTAGTGTTACGGGACCAGTATGTAAAACCTGAGATGCTGTTTGCTCAGACAGCAGGGCAGAAGGACCACTAGTTGTTTGGAAGGCAGCAAAGCCGACTTACCCAACACAGTGAGGTTGAGCTGATTCTCCCGATTGCCATCGGGAAATGTTGCAAACTCGCAGATGTAAACGCCTTCATCCTCCAGCTTGAGGCGTGACAGCTGGATGGTCCCATCCCTGGTGGAGGAGTTTCGAAAGACCATCCGGTCATTGTACGGGGGCAGGATGGAAATGCCCATGACGGGGTTGGAGATGGCCACGTTCTGCTTGGAGCCATTGGTGACCTTCTGCCAGGTGACCTGGGTGATCTTCATGCCGAGGCTGGGGTTGGTCAAGGTGCAGTGCAGGTTCACGTCAGTCCCAATGTACCCGGAGACCGTGTCGTTGACAAGCACCATCTGAGCCCAGAGGCCTGCAATGAGAGCAGAAGGGAGGCGGGGGAAGAGGAGTCAGTTGCAGAGTGATAAGAAATGGTCCTTGTTGCTGGGATTCCAGCGCACCGTTTGTCCCAATTAATTCTCTCTGCTTGTAGCTTGGAAGCAGCAGGTTCGCGCAAGCCCAGCTAAATATGGCTCACAGCTCCGCAGATAAATTGGAGAGAGAGAGAGAGAAACTGACTACGGGACATAATTTCCCCTTCCCAACAGTTAAACAAGTGCATTTGAGTTTCCTGAGCCTGCGACGGAGCTGGCTGGAGGAGAGGAAAGCCACGCAAATAGTCCCACTATGTTCCGCCTTCAGATTTGCCTGGCCGGTGGTACATAAAACCGTGCTGCTCACCTGCGCCTAAAAATGGGAGACAGGAAACGTCTGTCAAATTGCCCTGCTTGCTTGCCTGGAAGAGATGGCTAAGGCCACCGAGTGGCCATACTTCAAGGGGACGGGAAACTGATTTGGCTGAAGGGCCATGTTCCGTTCTAGGCAACCTTCAGAGGGCCACATGCCACTGGTGGGTGGGGACAGAAGAAAAGGTGGGCAGTGCCACAAATGCAATTTTCATCTTTATACAGTAGACGACACACACTCCCATATCCTCCATCCAGACATGTAAGAGGCATTGCCAGAGTTGAAGGACACAGCCCAGCTAAGACCCAAGGGGGGGTGCAAAGCAGGGTGTGTGTGTGAGGGGTGTGGCCTTGGGTTTGTTTTGCAAGGAAAGTCCCAAATGCCAGAGACAGAGGCTTGGAGGATGGCAATTGGCTTTGAGGGTTGAGGTTTCCCACCCTTTCTAGACCAGATGGGTGACTCTACCAGCCTGGCATAAACATATCTATATAAGCTGGTCCACACATGTATGTGCATATTGACTGCAGTGTTAAGTGGCAGCTGGCATGTGTAACTGAGCCACCCCAGCTCTGATACTGCTGCCAGGACTCCAGTGTCTTCTCACCTTTCAGCCACATCACTGCACGGCTTCAGGTGTTGGGCTGTGAGAGTTGAAAAATGGTGATGAGAAAGGCAGCGAGGGGGTATGAAGATGTGAATCCCCCCCCCTGCATTGAGTGGCAAGAGATTGTGAGGAATGAGCACACATGGAATGCCATCTTTACAACAGACCGCTTTAAAATATCGATGGCTTTAAAAGAGGATGAGACAAATTAATGGAGGACAAGGCTATCAATGGCTGCTAATTCTGATGGCTGTGTTTCTACCTTTTCCTGGCTCTTAAGGCTGCAAGGATAAGTGCATGTTTGTGTGTACATCTGCAGTGCCTGGCAGATCTTGGAAGATTCCCAGGGTTCAGGGGGTTAGAGATTCAGTGCCCTCTGCAGCTCTCTGCCCCTCCCTGCGACTAGCAGGACGGCAGAATGAATGACGCAAGGTAGCAAATATTGCAGAGTGAATCATGCAAAATGTGTGTGTGTGTTTGTGGGGGAAATCATGCAAATGCGTTTGATTTGCATAATTTATACAGCATATAGAATATCTATCTAGGTCTCCGCAGACAGAGATGTAGATATATAGGGAGGTTGTCACCCACTGGTGGAGGGGGGGGGAGATCATGCTATCCAAAGTCTCACTGTGTTTGACAGGCCTTGCTTTCTAGTGTTGATGATTGCAACCAAACTTTGACTAACTACATGATTTATAGTCAATTAACCAATTAATTACACATGCACATAGCATTTTGGAAGCGGGTGTGCGTTCCTTATTCATGGACTCCTCTACTGAAAGGGGAGCATCAGGTTTGCATTTTTAAGAGTTACATTCTCTCCAGCCACTAGTGATACAACATGATTAAACCCTTTCCCCGAATCCAAAATTAACCTCTGTCTTTGGGAATAAAAATAAAGACTGCTGTGTTTCTCGTTGTTTCTTCTCTCTGCCTGCGTGCTTTGCTTAAGGCATGAAGACAGATCTGGCTAACAGCTGGGCTTCATGCTTTCAAAAATGGGGAGCAACTGTGACTTCTTAATCCTTGGGGTGCAAGCAAGATGTTTGGCAGCCCCCTAGCAGATATTTGCTCTCCAACTTGAAGAGGAGCAAGTCAACAAGCTGGCCTCATGGCTACAAGAGCTGGCTTGCTGCCTTGTAGTTTTTTCATTTAGGTTGGCCTTATCTATGTTATGTTCAGAAGAACCAGCTGGATTAGGCCAACAAGACATCTAGTCCAGCCTCCTATTCTCACAGTTGTGAACCAGGTGCCTGTGGGAAGCCTGTGTGCAGGATTTGAGCACAAGAGCCCTTTCCCCTCCTGTGCTTCCCAGCAACTGGCATTCAGAAGCCCTGCTGCCTCCGACCGTGAAGGCAGAGCCAAATCATCATGGCTAGCAGCCACCAATAGCCCTCTCCTAGCACCACACAGAGGTGGAGAACTTGTGGTCCTTCAGTGTTGCTGGACTACAACCCCCATGACCCCCTAACCATTAGGTTCACTAGGAGTTGGAATCCAACAACCTCTGGGGAGCATTGGGTTCCCCATCATAGGATTAAAGCCCTAAACGGCCTTGGTCCAGTATATCTGAAGGAGTGTCTCCACCCCCTTCGTTCTACCCGGACACTGAGGTCCAGCGCCGAGGGCCTTCTGGTGGTTCCCTCACTGCAAGAAGCCAAGTTACAGGGAACCAGGCAGAGGGCCTTCTCGGTAGTGGCACCCGCCCTGTGGAACGCCCTCCCACCAGATGTCAGAGAACAACAACTACCAGACTTTTAGAAGACATCTGAAGGCAGCCCTGTTTAGGGAAGCTTTTAATGTTTGATGCATTACTGTATTTTAATATTTTGTTGGAAGCAGCCCAGAGTGGCTGGGGAAGCCCAACCAGATGGGCGGGGTATAAATAATAATAATAATAATAATAATAATAATAATAATAATTGCATCATAGAGTTGGAAGGGACCCAGTGGTTCATCTAGTCCAACCCCCTGCAATGCAGGAACATGCAGGTGTTCCATACAAGGATCGAACCTGCAACCTTGGCATTATCAGCACCACACTCTAACCAGCTTTCATTTTCTTTTATCACATTTACATCAACCCCCACCCCTCTTTTCCTCCAAGGAGCTCAAGGTGGTACACATGGATCTCCCCCTCCCACTTTCATCCTCACAACAACCCTGCGAGGATGGTTAGGCTGAGAGATGGCAACTGGCCTAAGATCGCCCTGTGAGATTATCTGGTGTAATATGTCGCCTGGCAAAGACTTCTGCAGAACTCCAAAGCTTGCCACCATTTTGCAACCTTTTCCCTCGGTCATCGTGAATGTATATTCTCCAACTGTGGACCTTGGAATGTTTCATTTCTCCCGTTGAAGACCAACAATGGCTGACTCAGCTTTTTAAAACATTGTCTGTACTCCATCTCAGGTAATACCTTTCCCTTCCACCAAGAAAGAGGGAAGTATCTTACAAGATGAGCAACATTTAAATCCAGCTTCACATACACCCCACACACACATGCAAAATTGCTGCTGTGTCTCTCCCTAATCTGTGTGTTTAGAGAGAACACTCCAATAATTATATAGCTGGTATTTATATTCAAAGCAAAAAAGAAAAAAGAAAAAAAGAGAGCAGGGTAGTGGTGCAGAGGACGGGTGGTGAAAGTGTAGCAGAAAACTGGAAAAACGGGTCATTCGAGAAATGGGAAGCCTGGGGAGAGGAGGCCAAAGAACAGTGGTTCATGCAAAGCATGAAAGAGAAGGAAGAGTGATTAGAACAGAGGAGAGCCACCTTATATCCTGAGTCACAGCACTGGTCTGTCTAACTCAGAATTGCCTTCGATGACGGGCAGCTGTTCTCCAGGCTTTCAGGCAGGGGGCATTGCCAGCCCTACCTGCAAAATTCGGGGACTGAACCTGGGGCGTTTTCCATACAAAGCAGTTCCTTTCTCAGTGAGCCATGGCCCTTCCCTAAAAAATCAAATAAGATTCTAGTCCTCATTGTTTTCAAGAAAGGCTTCTTTAAAATAGGAATGTAAGAATCTGCCTTGTTCCGAGTCAGAGCTTCAGCCTCTCCAGCTCAGTAATGTGCACAGTGACTGGTTGCTGCACTCAGACAAGGAACATTCCCAGCCCTCCGTGGAGATGTTGAGGACTGAAGCTGGGACCTTCTGTGTGGGAAGCAGATCATCTATCACTGAGCTATGGTCATTTCCATGAGGGACATGGGAAGGAAGACTAGAGAGGCCATCAGAATGGGAACACGGTACTGGAAAGGAATGATTGCTCCACACAAGGAGAGGAAGGCAGTGGCTCTTGCTCGCAGAAGCAGGCCAGAGCCAATGTATTTTGCTGCTTGAGATGGAGCAGAAAGTGCATTTCTCCTCCTGCCCCAAGTCAAGGTCCTGAATATGTGCAGAATTGATGTCAAAGCAGGAGCAGAGAACCTGTAGCCCTCTAGGTGCTGTTGGACTACCTATAATTTCCACTACAGTCGTACCACAGAAGTCAAATGGAATCGGTTCCAGAAGTCCGTTCAACTTCCAAAATGTTCAGAAACAAAGGTGTGGCTTCCGATTTTGCTGCAGGAAGCTCCTGCAGCCAATTGGAAGCCGCATCAGATATTCGGGTTCCAAAGAACGTTCACAAACCAGAACACTCACTTCCGGGTTTGCGACATTGGGGAGCCAAAACGTTCAACTCACAAGGCATTCATCAACTAAGGTACGACTGAATTCCTGCCCATTTGCTGTGCTGCATCTGATGGGAGGTGGAACTGAAAAACATCTGGAGGGTTACAGGCTTCCCACCTTCTGCTTTAAAAGAACATTTCGAATCAGATCAATAAGTAGACCAAACACAATCTATGGTGTTATGCTGCCTGCCTCCTACTCCAGTAGGGCCCACGATTTGGGTCCAACAAACCCAAAGAACTGGGGCAGGAGCAGATCCTGTGAATTTGTTCATACAGTGGTACCTTGGGTTACATATGCTTCAGGTTACGGACCTCCAGAACGAATTAAGTACTTAACCCGAGGTACCACTGTACTTTATTTCTTCCTTCTTTTTCTGATTTTATTCATGAGGAATACCTTGTGCACTCTTATATATTCATACTGGGTTCTCTCGTGAGGAGAGGCGGGAACTACCACTTGGCACCTGCCACCTGAAGCAGCCACCTCACTTTACCTAACAGTAGGGCCGACCCCAAATGTGGGGCTCAGCAAAAACAAAACAAAACCTTTGCCCCCATCTTTCTTTGCCCTGCCTTCTCAGGTGGTGATTTTTTACATCTCTTCTCAACACATCAGCATCTTGGCAGAGAGACTGTCACACACCTGCCGCAGAAGCCCCCCCCCCCAGTTGCAAAGGATTCTGGGGCGTTTGTCTGAGCACATGTTGAATCCATGTGACACACCAGACCGGCCTGTTGGGCTGGATTGCCACCACCCCATGTGAAATGAGATTTCATCTTACAACACGCCCCTATGACTGAGCGCTGTAGAAGATCTGTAGTGGGTAGCAGGAAATCTTGTGCTCCCTTTCTGATCTTGCTGCAAGGTACCCCGATAAGCTTCTGAGGAACCTTGGCGTTTTCCAGAACATTCTGGGGAAACGACTAAGAACAAAACTGGCTGTTTAACTAGCACCCTGGCAAAGGCTTGGAGGAACCTCTTTCTGGTGTGGAATTTCATAAGCCCTCGCCCAGAGGTGCTTGCAAAAGTGAACACTCCTCTTTCAATGCCAAGGGCTGCAACTACTGCCCCAGTCCCCCAAGGGTTTAGTGATTGACCTGGAGCAGAGCAGAGCAAGATGGAGGAATGATGCTCTGTAAGAGCTGGTGGGTGCCCATCTCCTTTCTCTGCTGGGCCCCAGGTAAGTCTCAGGTCTTGGGGGGGGGATTCTTGATGGTGGTAAGAGCTTTAAGGGCATCCCCCAAACTTTGAATGCAACAAATCCTTTGGCATGACTACAAAGACTCTGAATACTATTTACTGGAAACTGAAGGGGAGAGTGCTGTTACGCT